GTGCGTTCGTGCGTGGGTGCGTGCGTGCGTGGGTGTGTGTGTGCGTGCGTGCGTGGGTGTGTGTGTGTGTGTGTGTGTGTGTGTGTGTGTGTGTGTGTGTGTGTGTGTGTGTGTGTGTGTGTGTGTGTGTGTGTGTGTGTGTGTGTGTGTGTGTGTGTGTGTGTGTGTGTGTGTGTGTGTGTGTGTGTGTGTGTGTGTGTGTGTGTGTGTGTTGTGTGTGTGTGTGTGTGTGTGTGTGTGTGTGTGTGTGTGTGTGTGTGTGTGTGTGTGTGTGTGTGTGTGTGTGTGTGTGTGTGTGTGTGTGTGTGTGTGTTGTGTGTGTGTGTGTGTGTGTGTGTGTGTGTGTGTGTGTGTGTGTGTGTGTGTGTGTGTGTGTGTGTGTGTGTGTGTGTGTGTGTGTGTGTGTGTGTGTGGTGTGTGTGGTGTGTGTGTGTGTGTGTGTGTGTGTGTGTGTGTGTGTGTGTGTGTGTGTGTGTGTGTGTGTGTGTGTGTGTGTGTGTGTGTGTGTGTGTGTGTGTGTGTGTGTTTGTGTGTGTGTGTGTGTGTGTGTGTGTGTGTGTGTGTGTGTGTGTGTGTGTGTGTGTGTGTGTGGGTGTGTGTGTGTGTGTGTGTGTGTGTGTGTGTGTGTGTGTGTGTGTGTGTGTGTGTGTGTGTGTGTGTGTGTGTTTGTGCGTGTGTTTGTGTGTGCGTATGTGTGTGTGTGTATGTGTGTGTGTGTGTGTGTGTGTGTGTGTGTGTGTGTGTGTGTGTGTGTGTGTGTGTGTGTGTGTGTGTGTGTGTGTGTGTGTGTGTGTGTGTGTGTGTGTGTGTGTGTGTGTGTGTGTGTGTGTGTGTGTGTGTGTGTGTGTGTGTGTGTGTGTGTGTGTGTGTGTGTGTGTGTGTGTGTGTGTGTGTGTGTGTGTGTGTGTGTGTGTGTGTTTGTGTGTGTGGGTGTGTGTGTGTGTGTGTGTGTGTGTGTGTGTGTGTGTGTGTGTGTGTGTGTGTGTGTGTGTTTGTGTGGGTTTGTGTGTGTGTGTGTGTGTGTGTGTTTGTGTGTGTTTGTGTGTGTGTGTGCGCGCGTGTGTGTTTGTTTGTTTGTTTGTTTGTTTGTTTGTTTGTTTGTTTGTTTGTTTGTTTGTGTTTGTGTGTGTGTGTGTGTGTGTTTGTTTGTGTGTGTGTGCGTGGGTGTGTGTGTGTGTTTGTGTGTGTGTGTGTTTGTTTGTGTTTGCGTGTGTGTTTGTTTGTGTTGGCGTGTGTGTTTGTGTGTGTGTGTGTCAGTGTGTTTGTGTGTGCGTTGTTGTCCCTTTTGCAACTGTCCTTTGGGAGTTTTTTTTTGGGGGGGGTTGTTTTTGGGGGAGGCCCACTCCCTAAAAGAAGTCAATGGGATGATTCATGTTTTGCATTTTCCCCGGACCCCCCTATCTAATTGTCCCTTCTGAACCTCGCGGGGTGAGCAATCTTCAACTTTGCAAAGCTTGACCGCAACGAATGCCACGTGTTGCTGTACCGGGGCGTGCCCCAAGGCTGCGGGAGTTTTTCACTTGTGGGGATATTGATCCGCTGGCTGCCACATCGAGGAACCAGGCTAGTGCTGTTGTGTAATCGACAAAGGCTCATGCCAGCCCAATCTGAGGAATCGTGTTTCTTCACACCAGCTGTCATGTTCTGAACGTGGAATGTTTCTGACCAATGTAGGTAAAGCTCTGAATTTGGAGCATCGAGGTGCATGAACCAGGGGATTGAACGCGTGGCACCAGATCCAGTCACTTTCGATTCGCCGTAAGGTGACCGGCGGCCGGCATTGCGCCTCCAATGGCATCGTGCTCTCGGAGAATTACGTGACGCTCAGCTGGATTGACCGGTGAGAAGAGAGAGTTGGAGCTTCCAGCTTTGTTGCCATTTTGGTCGAAGTCACGCACCCTTGGACCAAAACCCTTTGCATGACAGCCCACGCACTAGCAAAGGTTTGATTGCGGGGGTGTATTGAGCAGAGGCAAAAGGACTTAAGGACGAAGAATTCACTTGGCAAAGCTCGCAGACTTGGGATTTTCTTTTAGCTACCTCCTTGAAGGAAGCCGAAAGGAAATCCAACATTTGGAGGGGCTGCTTGTGTTGACATATCCTGAAAAGCTGTGTTGGGGAGGGGGCGGGGGCAAGATTGTGGTTTGGCACATGTTTTGTGCTCAGCTGTTCCTTGCCGCCCTTTTTCATGGCCAGCATTCGTGGGTGTTTGGATGCATGCGGCGTGGCAGCATGCATACCCACCAAATTGCTCTTCTGAAAGAGCTGCAGCCTCATGAGAGGCATCTTCTCACCTGTTCTTGTGATCTCTCCCCTAATTCGCAGGGAGAGCCCGCTGGGCTGACATACGACTTCCTATCTCGCAGGAAGCGCGTTTGTAAAAAACAGGAAGGGACCAAGAACCAAAGAACCAAACAACAACCTACCACGTTCCCCCAAGGTAAAGTACAAGGGGCGCGGCATGGGTTCGACATCCACCTAATCCGGCTGGACTGGTTGCGGCTTCAGCGCGGCGAGGTCAAGACGGCATTTCCAAATTCTCCGAGACCGAGCAGGGCAATACCTGCTGCAGGATGTTGGAAGTACCACTGGCACTTTCATGATGGTAAGGGAGGAGCTCGTGCTGGTGGACCAGATGATCATTCAGCCCTTTGGCTGGCAGTTGAATTAACTTCCGTCAACGAATCCCAACAGCTCTCGCTTTTTGTGTCAGACATGTCCACCAGCTGAAAATAGGCGCCCACCCGTTTGAGACAAGTCGATTTGTTGAGGAAACTGTCCGAAAGGGGACCGAAGCAGCACATCAAGCGCAAACTAAGAAGCCTCTGGCCATGTGTAGCATGTTGGGTTGGTGTTTTCAATCGTGACACCAGTAAAAGTTAGGGAAGCCTTGGAGCCTTGACGAAGTGCATTGACATTTGCAGGGAAGTTCACGGGCGCATCCTTTTGCACCTGAATTTATCTTGTTTGCCTGCATTGTTTGTTTGTTTGTTTGTTTGTTTGTTTGTTTGTTTGTTTTGTTTGCCTTTTTTTTCTCCCCCGCATTTAGCTAACGACGGCAATTTCCAACCCAACGCCCATCCGTCAGCCACATTGCATGCGCAGCAGCCTGCGATACGGTGGAGGTCATCGCGCACTTGCCTCTGGGTACCCTCACATTGACAGGAATGTCATAGGCCATGAGTGCGCCTGGTATATGCCGCTGCTTATCCGTTCTGTGGCCTTTTTTTCGTGAATCAGGCAGGTCTGGTGCGCATTGGCCGGTCGGGGCAAGGCTGGGCACCACTGAGCTCACGGTGCATTTGGAGGGCGACATGTGCAGCCTCGTCGCCACCGAAGGGCCGGACAAGGCGCCTGTGATAGGATTTGAGGTGACCCCCCCAGCTCCACGCAATTGGCAGTTGGCATTGGGGCCTGGGGGTTCTGTTCTTTCCTTTTGCCACGATGCAGGGCTTTTGCTGGATTTTCAGGGGTTCGAAGAATTCAGAATTCATGATTCGCTGAGTGCACTCACTCTATCGCTTGGCAGGATGTTACTGCTATGGTGCCCGCGCATGGCCTCTTCATCGGCAGGGAGGCTCCGCTTGACTGGCTCCCCACAATTCCGTCTTGGCTAAACCGCAAGCTGGGGACAACAAAGGCATATTTGTTCATACAGCCCTTGTTGTGATTGGGTGGAAAATGTGGGGTTTGGGCTTCTCATTGTCCTGGAACTCAGCAAGCCACACGTGCGTCACTCCACGTCTATACTTAACAAGGACCCCACCCGAAGGCATGTATTCGGTAAGGTTGGGGGGCACTAGTTTGTTTGCAGGAGCAGGATGCGATTCAAGCAACTTTCAGCCTGGGGCAAGAACCAGAAAGGACCCACAATTCTAACCCTTGACAGGTTCTTACTTCCAGGGCACTGCAAAGAATCCGTAGCGCGTGGCGTCAGCATCGGGAGACGTTGCTTAGTCCCATCAGGCAGGGAATGGACTTTGCATCCGAGATCCCCAGATCTCCGCCTTCCACTGCGAGGCATGGCCTTCAAGGGAGGAATTGGGTCCGTGAAGCCATTTCCGCAGGCCATCTGACACAGGGCGCCCGTCTTTGGCATTTTGTTGGCCCTTGCTGTTGGGATCTGAAAGTGAGCTATCGGAAACCCAAGCGCGAACTTGGGGTCCCTCGCAACGTGCCATTGGCGATGGACCGGGGTTCAGGTACGCCGCTCGCAGGGTGATGGCCCGTACGTCCTGGACGACAAGTGACCCTTGAAGCGGCACAGGATCTCCTTCAATAGTATTACGAAAGGCTTGTCGCACTGTCTGGCCCAGTCCAACAACTTGCCAACCCCTCCCCCCTCCAAGAAAAAGAAGGAAAGACGCAAACACAAAAATGCGTTCCCAGTTCCAAGTTTGGGGTGTCCAGCAGGGGGCCCCTATTTAGACTGGAAGAGAGGTTGGCGGCATTTGGTGGCAGAAATCGCTAGCTTATTATTGGCTTCGATCATCAATTGGCTATTCTAATCTATTGTGGGGCCGCGGTTTCGGAAACACTGGACTCTTATTCACTGTTTTTTTTACAGGGGGACCTTCATTACTAGGTGAAAGAGATCAGTTTGCGAAATCATTGGCCAGCGCCATCGTTTCTCTGAATGGTCACCAAGTTATCATAGCCTGACTGAATGGCGAAAGCAGCAGGCAGTTTCAAAGACGAGCATGCCGAGCCTAAGTTACTTAGGCTCCCCAGGCCACATGGGTTTGTTTCGATTGGTTTCAAGATAAACTTGCCGAGGCATCCACTCAATTGCAGGTTGGGAATGGGGCAATCCCTAGGCCATTCAGCCAGCTCAGCCATACCTTGCATGAGGACCTGCCCAGAAAGGAAGGCCGTGTTGTTGGCAGGTCCTTACCCCTGTTCCATTGACCTTGGCCTGGGAGCTTCCCTCGCGGCCAGAGGGAGGGCAATTCAAACGGGAAAAACATGAGGCCGGATGCCCCGTTGCACCAGGTACTCAACAAATAGGACCTGGCTGCGGCTTGCTCCGGACGGCTCCTTGGCATGATGCGCCATCCGATTCCCTTTGCCCCTGCTACATGTTTATGAATTGCGTTTGAGTTTCAATGGGTTCCTGGTCAAGGCTTCTTCTCTTCCCCGGACTCCCATGAAGCCGAAAGCCAGCGAAATGAGCAAAGCGCCTTGCTTAGTCACCCTATATAGGTTTTGAAGTTAAAAGCCATGAAGGCCCGACCCAGCAGTTTGTAAGAATTGCGGGCTAACTAAAAGCTGCATAACCATGTGGCCTTGAATACTTACATTCTAGCTCGCGCTCAGGCTTGGAAGTCGAATGCCCGATGGTGGCTTGATGTCTTTTGTTTTTTGGCTCTCTCATTTTGGCAGCTTGGAACCCTCCCACAAACTCACAGCCCGGGGAGCTAAGTGACTCGCTGCAAGTGGGATTGGTGTGGATTGGAAGTGATGTACTGGGGATGGCTGGGCGCTTTCCCATTCAATTTCCCTCGCCACACCACCGCAAAACAGGCCTATTCCCAATCTTAGACCCGCAGATGGCGCTTTGCAAGAGGCCAACCTTCCAAGCGGTACTTGTTGCGCATCGGCGACCTCTTCAAGGTTGGCTCCACTCTGTTTCACGTGCCTTGGCTTCCATGGACTTCGGGGGATTGTGTCCACGCTGTTCCACGGCATCGTTTGTGTTTGGCGGGTTCGCGACTGAAGATGGTCATTGGGCGTCCCCTTGTCACCACGGTGATTGAACATGGGATGTAGGTCTTACCCCCCCCCCCCCCACCAATAGGGGCAGAACACTGGCAGAACATGGCAGAATGCACACGATCCAAGCCTATTTTTTGAACACCTCACAAGGGTGCACAGGAGCTCACGATAGCACCTTGCCGACAAGAGCCGGCCTGTTCTGACCTTCAGGCACGCTGGTCACCAATGTCAGAAGCATGGCGCCTGCTACCGTTTGCAGCCATCCATATGCATGACACCCCTAATCTGTAGTTGTTGTTGTGTTTTTTTTTTGGGGGGGGGGGTTGTTGTTTAAATCATCAATCCCCTTCCCGGAAAACAAGCCGCCGCCCTCCCCCTATGAGCGAATTTCCCAGTGGACAACACGTTTTTGCATAGGCTTCTCGGGCCTGCCCGATGCTCGAGCAATTCGGCCCTGTCAACATGGGCGGCTTCCGTTCAACCCATTCCTTTGCAGGGAAACATGCAACAGGACGTTTTTGCAGAATTAACTGGGAGGAGAGAGTGCGAAAATCGGCGGTACAACCAGAAAGCATGCGCAGCGCAGCCAGAAGGAAAGACATGGCACGCAAACAAGTATGAGGCGCATTTGAGCCATAATCAAAACCTGGGTGGGTGAAGGGTAGTAAGGGACAATACCAACCAGAATTAGGTGCGGCCGCAGTTTTAGTTGTTTGCATGGATTTGGGTAGACATGTCTATACCAGGTTTTCAGTGTGACTCATTTTGCCAGTGAGCTCTTGCTTACTGACTGTCATGCCTCCACAATCTCTGAGCCTATTTTGAGCCCTTGGTTGAATTGTTGACCGGCAAAGGTGGTGGAGCCTGTGACAGAGCCTTGGCACAAATATGGTTTGCATGAAAGATTCAGCATGGCGCTGTATTAGGGCCACGTCCGAAACCAAGCTCCAAGGACGAGATGCCGCTGGAGATGCCCCACTTGGACCAGACCCGGTTCCCGCCAGAGGACGAGGAGCCAGAGGAGCCAGAGGAGCCAGAGGAGCCAGATGAGCAGGAGTTCAGCAACTAGACAAGAGGGTAGGGGGTGAGCTCCGCGAGAAAAGTGGTGCAGCACATGAAACAATCCAATCGACCCTTGAGCAGGGAGCCAGGTTGTTCCCCCGCGTTTCCGCCGTTTTACCCGCAACTTGCTCAAGTTGGCTCGCCGAGGTGAGCCCGAACTCCCAGACCTGGCTTCGCCGGCAGGGACCCGGGGCTGAGACTCTGTGACTTGTGCTTCCGTGGGGGTTGACTAGCAGATTTTCGCAGTCAACGGTGAACGCCTTGACATCAGGATCCTTCCGCAAAGCTCTACCTGAGAGCTTGTCCATAGAGTCAAGCTCATGCTTGCACCTTGTGCACTCCTTGCGCTCGACTTTTGGCATGGCGTCCTCCAAGCACCAACCGGAACACCAGTTCAAACCAGGTGCCCATGTGGGTTTGTACATTGAAGCATTGTCAAAGATGACCTCAAAGCTAAAGCACCCTAAAGCCATCGCAACGGGAGATGAGCCTTGAGCAGTCAGAGAGGGTCTTTCACAGGCAGCTCCGCAGCTGAGATGGGAGCCGTTCCTGGAGGGCGACAGGCGAGCGGATGGGCCAAGTTTCCGTACCAAAAAAAAAAAACCTTCAAAAGAAGCAGCCTTGGGAATCAACCACTTTGGTCTTCGAACCTGGCTTCCGGAAGCGCCTTTCTCCTGTGCCAGGCCGGTCCTCAGCCCAGAGGATTACGCCCAGCGATTGGCAGCGGCACGGCGGCGCGCTGCGGAAGGCGTGGGTTCCGAGCCAGGTCTTCTAAAAGCACCAAGGATACGCCGCGTGTCTCCGTGCCCCCATGTCTTAGTGTCACACTCTCCCTGTGTGTCCGTGTGTGTCCCTGTGTGTCCCCGCGTGTCTCCGTGTGTTTGCGTCCCCGCTTGTGACTGTTTCTATGACTGTGTGTTTGCGTGTTTGTGTGCGTGTTCTTGGTACCCTTAAACCCACGGTTTGAAGGGATGCCAATTTCCCGTATAAATGTTGACACAGACGCGAATGAACACGCCACAAGGGTAGAACACTGGTGGAGGCTTGTGCGGGGCCACATATCTATCATTGTGGCAGTGGTTGTGCGGAGTACGACGATTGGAAGCATCCGTTTTGCGCCGTCCAGTACTCTTCTCTTCAGATTCTGAGTGTTCTGAGATGGGAACCCTACCAGGATCATATTGTGGGTTTGTGGTCTAAGACTGGCCACTCTGATTTGCGCAGGTTCTGCGCGGCGAGTGGCGGGTGCCGCCGACCTGCAGGGCAGCCAGGAGCGGAACGCCTTGGTTGGCTAAAACGGGCTGGAACAAAAAGCAAAGCGGCGAAAAGATGCATGCCAAGATTGCACAACTTTGTCCAGCTTCGGACTTAAGACTCCGCACGGGGTTCCATGAACGAATAATGGCAACCACCCTGCCCAAGGATGCTTGATTTTGGAGCAACTTCCGAGAGCCTGGACAAAGGATATTTTAGACGCATCCTTTGTTAATGCATCCTTAGTCAATCGAGTCGCCCATGGCTGCACCCAGCTATGGGAGGCCTGCTTCTGAGGAACATTGCGCTCTTCAGGTGGGCACGGTAGTCTGCGGCATACGTGATCCCACCACGAACCCACGCGCACAAAAACCGCAAGCATTGTCGCTGACTTGCGGCTATACAACCAACCATTGATGGCCGCCTGCGCGTGAGTAGCCTTACGTGTACAACCCCGGGGCCTGACATTTTCTTCTTGGGGGGGTTGCCTCTTCTGTGGGAGGGTGTGGGGCGGCACTAAGGGATTCCTCTTTCGATGGGCACCCCCCTTCCGGCCCCTCCTGGCGTCAGGGTGACAGTGCCTCGTCTGTCTCTGAGGTCTCTGCGTCTTTCTCTTCTTTCACCCGTTCCGCGGCCTCTTGTCTCTGCCGCCTCTCTCCTGTGCCCCTTCCTCTCCCTCTTCTCTCGCTTCTCCCGGGCTTTGTGGGGTGCGTGCGCTGCTGTTCACGTCCTTTATGAATGCCTGTACCCCCCCCCCTACCCCCCCCCCCTTAAGGTAGTTAGGTCCTATCCCTAGGGTGGCTAGGAAGTGGATATAGCAACATTTTCCCTAAGACTTCCTAAGCTGAACCTAAGAGACCCTTGATTTTGATCGGACATTCGAGCTGCGTTACTTTGCTGCGTCCCCCCAACCTAGGGAAATCATAAGAGATTCGTTTTTTTTCTGAAAGCGCTGCGTCCCCGTAAGCTTTCCGCAAACATGCTTCCCCAAGGAGACCGTACGGCTTTGTCTAGGGCTTCCCTAGGGCTTCCCTAGGGCTTCTCTAAGGCCTCCCTATGGCTTCCCTAAGGCTTCCCTAAGGCTTCCCTAAGGCTTCCTTAAGGCTTCCTTAAGGCTTCCCTAAGGCTTCCGTGAGGCTTCCCAAGGCTTCTTTAACCTAATTTGCAGGTTCAGTATTTCTTGTCAGTGTTCCCGCCATGCGCAGGGCGAATGTCAGGCCAAGCTTCCCCAAAGCTTCCCCAAACCTTCCGCAAGGCTTCCTAAGCCTCCCCTGCAAGAGAAGCCCTTTAAGCTTAAAGGGGTGGGGGTAAAGGAGGGGGGGGGTACGGGCTCCATAAGTCCTTGGCTAGGGTGGTGTTTTAGTCCGGGGTGCGTGTGACCCTGTGACTCAGCTACGTCCCAGTCCCCCTCCTCTTGCTCTCCTCTTCTCTTGTGCCACGTCCCGGTCCTGTCCTTTCGCTCATCCTTGTGTTCTCTCCCTCTTCTCTTGCTTCTCCCACTCTTTCTGAGGTGCGTGTGCTGTCCAAGTCCTTGGCCAGAGTGGTGTCCTAGTCCGGGGTGCGTGTGCTCAGCCACGTCCCTGTTCTATCTTCTCCTCCTTGTCCCTCTTTCTTGCTGCTCCCCCTTGCTGTTTGGCCCCTGCGTGGCCTTCCCGGCCTACGCGTGGCCCTCAACCCTGTCCCCTGTCCACGCTTGGCCCCTGCGCGGCCTTACGGCCCCCGTGCGGTCTTGCACTCCAGCTTGTCCAGTCTTCATGGGCCTTCTACCAGCCCTTGGAGATGCGGATTCCTTGAGTTGAAGGAGGCGACAGAAAATGCCCGTGCCGATCTGGATGTTGGCACCCCTCTGTCTCTCCCTTCCTTCCAGGTGTCCTGCGCAGGAGATGATACGTGTTGGAGGCGTCCCCTCCGCTTCGCCTCTGTGCAGGCAGGCGGCGTAGGTACCGACGCCCGCTTTATCGGGGCCAGTCCCTCTTTTACCTGGGAGCGGACAAGGATGCGTTTCTGAGATTGGCTGCACCTCCTCCGTGTCTGCCCCCCCCTCTCATTGATGGATTTGCCTCCGCCGGTTACACTGCTGTGTGTCATGGCCCTTCGGGAGCGCTGCCTGCGGTGATGTTCTGGCAGTTCGGCGCGGCGCGGTGCCACGCTTGGCTGGCGTGACATTGCGCGTGCTCCGGGTGATCGTGGCCTGGCCGGCGCTATACATCTCTCAGGCGGCTGTCCTGTTCGTGTCGTGGGCGTGTCTGCGGTGACTGGAGCCAGTCTTCCCGGGTTCGATAGTGATCCATTTAAGCTGGCTGAAGAGGCTTCACTGGTCCAGTTTGTTGGGGGCAACTCTGCCTGATACCGTGCATTTGCATGGGTGACTTTAACTCTGTCGCCTCGCTGGATCTTGATGTTTGGCATGGGTCGCACGTTCTCCGTCCGTCGTCCCTCGCTGCTCACACGCCTTCCTTCGACTGCGTAGACACCTTTCGTCTTCGCCACGCAGGCCTCCGGGCCTACGCCTTTTTTGCCCTCTCTGGCTCTGCAAGCCGCCTGGATGGATGGTGTTTGTTCTTTCAGCCTACGTGGGGCTGAGCCTTTCCTGCTGCTCAGGTTCTTGTTGGCTGGCGTCGCCGTGTTGATCATGAGCCCGCGCTTGCTGACTTTCTTGCCGCGCTCCCCCATTAGTGGAACACAACTCTCCTGCCCGCCCTCCTTCTTTGCGTCTTTTGGCAGAGACCAGTGAGTCCACCTCTGCTTTCAACTTCAACTGGAGTCGTTGCGACACGCCGTGGCGAGTTCCCTTGTCGCGCATGCTCCGTTACTCCAACACCTTGAAGAGGACAGCCTCCTCTTGCTTAGCCTGTCCCACCCCTCTCATCTGTTCTTCTCCTCGTGTGAGGGATTGGATGGTAGGATCGGCGCTCCAAGGTCCTTTCAGATTGGGCGGCCTTGTCCAATGCCTCCCTGCTGGTATCCCGTGCCTGTGTAACGCCCGCCCGGGCGTGGGAAGAGTGCGTTCACCCTGGATGCCCCTCCTGCCGACCCGCAACTTGCGCTCGTTCAGCTCTGCCCCGACTGTGCGTTCTCTTGGTTGTCTGCAGTTGCTGCCTCACCCCTCGGTTCAGTTCATCCTTCGTTGCACTGCGGTGGTTAGTCAAGTCCATCCAGGAGCCGGTCATGGCATGGCTCGGCCGCTTGTTCTCAGCAACCGTCGGATCAAGCGGTGGCTGTGCCGCTTCCTAGCTGACCCTGTCACAGTCTCCGCGGCCCTAGCTGCCTGTGATGCTGCTCTTGGCTCTCCGTCTGGCCTGTCAGCTGGCCTTCGCATCTGCATCGAGAATTTGCCTTGGGAAGAAGGTGTGGTCCTGAGTGTCGGCGCAGGCGAGCCTTCCATTGGCTTGCGTGGGTAGGTCTCACATGCGTTTATGTTTCCGGCCGGCTTGAACCCCAAGGCCGGGGGGGAAGCGCGGGCCTGGCCTCACTAACAAATGCTGGCCACACACCAACCAACCAGCCAGCCAGCCAGCCAGCCAGCCAACCAACCAACCAACCAACCAACCAACCAACCTTACGTGTACAACGTGCGTTGAAAGGAGAACCAAGTAAGCAAACCGAAAGTGCCCGCAAGACTCGCCCAACCCACAAAGTGGGTCAGCTTTTTATCACGTGCAGCTTCTTGTCTTCCGTGTTTCCCCGCTTCCCCGCCCCCCCCCCCCCACAGCGCAGGACGCCCGCATGTTCGACCTCCGGGAGCGCGAGTTGTCGTCACTGCAGCAGCGGATGCGGAACTCGCGGGCACAGACTGCCTACACGCTGCAGCAGCAGCAGCGGCAAGGCTTGGGCTTTCGGAATGCTCCCATTCAGCCCATTCGCATCCCGACCCTATAGGGATGTGTTTGTGAAGTCGGTTGGTTGCTCTTTGGTGAAAGGAGCAGCTACCAATGGATTCAGCTCATCCTAAGTAGCTGGCCTTACTGCAGAGGAGAGTGCCATACGTGACCCGGGACATTCTGTGGCCATAGCCGAATCCAAGCGCCACCTTTCGGGGCAACCGCAGTGCAGTCTCTTCTTGGATTCCATCGGTCCCAGATTGCGCATGAGTGGGGGGGGATTTGGATTGAAGGTGGCCAAGTAATAGATGAACCCGTCGAGCGCTGATTCTGCCATAGCTGGTGGGCGAGCATTCGCGGCAGGTGTGTTTGTTTGTTGCCTTTATTGGTAGTTTGGATTGGTGGTTTGGGAGTTTCGATCCGCTGGTTGCTTTCCACAGTGAGCTGGGGTGGGTATCCCCTAATCTGCAAATTGGCAACTTAAAGCACCAATGAAGGGCACACTGACCCTTGTCTGCATATGCCTGTGTGACAGCAATGCAGGCAGCGAGAGGAGGGACGAGGATCTTTGCAAGATCTGCTACGATAATGCTTCCTGCCAAGCAATAGGCAACGCTTCACACATGTCAAGCAGGACAATTGCCAGAACCAGACACTGGCCGGATGGTTACAAGTTACAAGTAGTTCTCAGGTCACCCTGAGTGGTGGTATGCATTGGTGGTGTGGGTGTTTAAGGGTTCGTCCTGGCAACCGTTCCAAGACAAATGGAAGCCGCAACTTTGTGAGGACATCGATGTGGTCCTTTACCCCTGTGGCCACTTCATGCTATGCCAATGGTGCGCGCGGATGGTCTCCGATTGCCCGGTATGTCGTCTGGTCATCACCGACGTGATCCGCACGTACAAGGCATGTGGTGTGCTCGCCTTTGGGATTGTACAGCCAGCGGCTTCTTCCGGGGTTCCAAGATTCCAGTCGACACGAACCTCTATCGCCATATTTCCAAGGGCAACAGGGAAAGCGCTGGGCTTGGTCCCTACCGCCCTGGCAAGGCCTAAGACCTCTCATCAGTGAGTCGCTGGCGTGGACGACGCGCGACTCCGCGCGGCGGTGCAAGCCGCAGCGTCCCAAAACGCCCCTGGTGCGCCCCTGGGCGCTAGGACATGGGAGGACTTGGGTGGAGGGCATTTTTTGCGTCGAAACTCAAATGCCCAAGCATCGACAGTGGGCAAGTGCAGATTTCAGCAAGGGAGGCCACTGGAAAAGGGATCGGATAGCGCTTTCAACACTGGACTAGCAAGAGCAGAGCCCACACATGACATACAATCGCTGACATCATCCCTTCGGCAGGGCACACATCTCGGCTGAAGCAAACATGGCATTTAGCCACCGTTGTAACTGTCCGCAATCAAGAAACGGACATCTTCCTTCCCAGGTTTCGCAACTGTAGATGCACCCTTTCCATGCTGGGGGCTGGGGAGGCCTCAGGCCCTTCGAATTCCGGAGCGACGCCTGGGGGTTTCTTATGCAGGTGTCCAAACCCGACCGGAGACCGGCAGTCAGAAAACAACTCGGCGCAGACCTTCTGTTGGATTCATGAGCTTGGTTTTGTTCTGGTTTTTTGGGGAGTGGGGTAGGGCAAGCTGGCTGACTAAGAGGCGGCGCAATAGCAAGTCTGATGGAGGTGACACCTGCAATGCACCGTGCTCATCAGAGAATTGCGAGCTGCAGCGTGGCAGTCGCGCATGCGTGTTTGAAGCGCTTCTTCGTTTGCAGGAAAATGAAAAAAGGTCAGATTGCGCAGGCGGCGTGGCGCTTTTGTCGGGCGCCGGCTATTCTAGTTAGTTGTTTCGGCAATGATCGGAGGCACGAGCATTGAATAAACTTGTCGTGCTGACATGCTTTGTGCGCAGGCTTGGCGCATCTTGAAATTGCATTTCTGACGCTTGCTGAAGGAGTTGCTCATCGGGACTTGCTTTCCACACGGTTTGGATGTTTGAGCTCTGGCTGAGAATGTGACAGACCACTGCAGGGGCCTTCCAATTTTGGGAGGTGGCTGTTCCCGGCTTTATTCTGGCCGCTCGTCCACGCCGAATTGTTTCAAAACCTGATGGAGGAACTGCTTTGGAGGAGCGTCTTGTGTACAGCAGGTGGTTCTTGGATGTATCCTTTAAGTAACACTGTTTGTTCACCTCGTTTGCCCTGCAAAGCTTCTTAACGCCTGGGAAGAATAGGAGAAGCCAGCAGTCCAGTGGCACTCTTTCTTTCTTGGTCTTTGGCTCGACCCTCACAATGAGCAGCTCCCGTGGAAAACAACTTGCACTTGCAGGGCTCAAAGCACTTCTAAACTGGTTTGTTTCCTGTTCTGCATTGGCCCTACAGATGAAATGCTCTCCCAGGCGCAGCTGCGGCGGTTGCGGGGCTTCCGGGAGGCGGTTTGGAGCCGGCGGTTTGCCCCGGCGAATATCAGTAGACAGGGGTGTTGTCCAACAGAAAAGCCCCTGTCAGCTTCCATCTTTATTGGGGGGAGAACCTCCAAATGAGTGAAAGCCGAAGCATGCCCACCCAGCAGAGAGTGGGGGCCCTGGTCCAAGCCCGAAGAATCGGCGCCGCTAGATCCCAAGGGCTGATTTCGGTTGACTTCCTGAATCTTATCGCGTCGTGCCTGGGGATTTGCTGCTTGCGGCTTCTATTGCGGGTCCACTCTGAAACCTTGTAGAAGGTGACCACTTCATTCCATTTGTCCATGTCCCCTTTTTCGCAAGCGAGTGGAAGAAGCATCAATGTACCAACCTCCTTCCAAAACCTCTGTCCAGTTGGAAGGGCTCCTTCGACGAAGCATGTTTGTCATCTCAGAACTCCATTGCCAAACTGATACTCAGCGGCCGTGCGAAACTCGAGGGGCTGGCAACCTGCTCTCCTCCAGCATTGCTTGTCTCTCTGCATGAAACTGTGTGTTTTCAAACGCAGGTTGATTCCGGGTCAAAGTTAGGCACCACCTTCATCTTGCATCTGTTTTTGCCCAACCCATGGAGTGAGAGCAAGATTGAACAAGCTTGGATCCGCGGTTTGGGTTTGATCAGTCCGTCGCGCAGATGATGCTGGCTCTCGACCGGCAAGCAACAGAGCTGGAGGCCAGTCTCATCGCTGGGGCGGAATCCAGCCCCTCACAACCTGCCTTTGGGCTGTTTGAACGGCTGGTGTCCTTTTGGTTTTGGTCAAGACCATCCAAAGCGCTCCCCCCCATCTTTGAGACGGACCCACAGCATCCTGTACCAGTTTGGATGAATTAAGCCATACAATGATTCCCGTTTACATGTCCTACAAAATGGGTGAAGTTGACCTGCCTACAAAATGGGTTTACTGCAAAATGGGGAGAGAGAGCAACGCAAGGCGACCCCCCCCTTTCACCTCATTGTAAACCAACAAGTATGATTAAAGTATCCATGTTTGGTTGTCCTACAACATGAGTTCTGCAAAATTCCTACTTTTTGTAGAGGCTACAAATGGTAACTTTGGCATGTAGGGCTTGGCAGATTGCGTCCCCAGCAGGTCCTAGTATATTTTTGGCAGAGTTGAGTGGACGATCGGACGCAGATGGATGCAAATGTGGGTTTCGAATCCATTTGCGACACTGGTAGGATTGAGAGCCAGCTGGCCCACTACAAACAAATGATGTTAGGGGTGGCCGCCATTCTGAGCTGCCATGACATAGATCCTAGCTTAAGTGACAGTAGTAGTACTGACCACTTGGTAAAACTAGACCACGGTTGGCCCGAAAGCAGAACATCGCAAGCGAGGTCGGCCCAACGCTGCAGGATGCGTTCTTTTTCCCTCACGAAGCATTCGTGAAGCAAGCGCGAGACAGCACCAGGCAAGGTGCTCTGTGCAAGTTGCTCTGTGCAAGTTGCTCTGCGTAAGTTGCTCTGCGCAAGTTGCTCTGCGCAAGTTGCTCTAGGCAAGGCGCTCTGCGCAAACTGGTCGGTGCAACTTGCTCTGCGCAAGTTGCTCTGCGCAAGTTGCTTTAAAATGCAAGTTGCATCTTGCGACGCCCGCCCGCGGACCAGGGAGGAATCGAACCCGCGACCCGCCGGTTCCGGGAGCAGGCGCGCGAACCACGAGACAACTCCCGAGGACCAGTTCGAACAACAAAAGTCGCAAAAAACCTCGAGTTTTTGCACCTCGACCACGCCGATTCCCGCAGAGGGTTGCGCGAGCACCGCAGAAATCGCAAAAAACCTCGAGTTTTTGCACCTCGACCACGCCGATCCCCGCAGAGGGTTGCGCGAGCACCGCAGAAATCGCAAAAAACCTCGAGTTTCTGCACCTCGACCACGCCGATCCCCGCAGAGGGTCGCGCGGGAACTTTAGAAATCGCAAAAAACCTCGAGTTTTTGCACCTCGACCACGCCGATCCCCGCAGAGGGTCGCGCGGGAACTTTAGAAATCGCAAAAAACCATGGAGCTTTTGCACCTCGACCACGCCGATCCCCGCAGAGGGTCGCGCGGGAACTTTCGAAATCGCAAAAAACCATGGGTTTTTGCACCTCGACCTCGCCGATCCCCACAGAGGGTCGATTTTCGTGTAGTGTCGTCGGCACTACCCCGCCGCCCTAAGAAGAGATTTTAACTCCTCGCAAGTCAATTGCACTTGACTCCTTGCACTTGCAACTTGCACTTGACTCCTTGCTTGTTTCAAGGAGTCATTGCAAGGAGTCATTGCAAGGAGTCATTGTCATTGCAAGGAGTCATTGCAAGTCATTGCAAGGAGTCATTCATGAGAGCCATTGCAAGTTGCAAGTGCATGGAGTCAAGTGCAAGTCGCACGTGCACGGGAGTGCAAGTAAGGAGCCAAGTGCAAGGAGCCAAGTGCAAGGAGCCAAGTGCATGGAGTCAAGTGCAAGTTGCAAGTGCATGGAGTCAAGTGCAAGTTGCAAGTGCATGGAGTCAAGTGCAAGTTGCAATTGCAAGGAGTCAAGTGCAAGTTGCAATCCTTGCCATGACTCCTTGCAATGACTCCTTGCAATGACTCCTTGCAATGACTCCTTGCAATGACTCCTTCCTTGCAATGACTCCTTGCAATGACTCCTTGACTCCTTGCAATGACTCCTTGCAATGACTCCTTGCAATGACTCCTTGCAATGACTCCTTGCAATGACTCCTTGCAATGACTCCTTGCAATGACTCCTTGCAATGACTCCTTGCAATGACTCCTTGCAATGACTCCTTGCAATGACTCCTTGCAATGACTCCTTGCAATGACTCCTTGCAATGACTCCTTGCAATGACTTTCATGATGATGATTCCTTGCAATGACTCCTTGCAATGACTCCTTGCAATGACTTTCATGATGCTGATTCCTTGCAATGACACCTTGTAATGACTCTCATGAGAACAACTCAAGTGAACCCAGCGGAAGAACCCTTCGCCATGCTTTCGGGAAAAAGAAAGCGCCCCGTCGAACGCAGGGCCCCATTTTGTAGATGTGTTTTGCCAAACAACTTCGTTTTGTAGAGATTTCACCCAACCCCACCGCCTACATTCACACGCAGATATAAAATGCCAGCTATCAAATGGTGCGGAATTTCGTTCCGCAGTAGAGCGTTTCTTTGATTCCCCTAAAACACCTCGACGCCCATTTCACCGGGGCGGACTTTCAAAGGCGTTGGGCTGTTTGCTTTGAGGGCCTTCAGGGGTTGAACCACGAGCAGCCAAGATCGAAAGCTCAGTGAAGAATAGCTCCAGGGTGGTTCCCACTACCCCCAAACAACCCGATCCGCCGAAGGTCATGAGCGGTAAGGACTGTGGGAAGGGCGAGTGTCTGGCGAGTGGCGGACATGAGGCCCTTGAACCGTCGAATTCTACTCATTCCAGATGCAACAAGAAGGCCATTGCCCTTTTCATTCGTCTCTTGAAAGGCTCCTGGGTCAGAGTTGTAAATCATGAAAGGTACTTTGGTGAAAATCATCCGATAATCTTCAAGATCTTCAAGTTTCAGGAGCCAATGGATTTGAAGCGACTGATCGGCTTGCCCGAGAAGGCCACACGGGCTGCGGGTTCCGGGCTTTGGAGAATGGCTCCTACGAGCATTGCCCGGAAGCACTTTGCCGGGACGCTGGCCAGTGTATGGGCGCTTTTCAGAATTAGGCACCCTCTCTTGGTTTCCCATTGCAACCATTCAACAAGCATCCGCCCGTTTGGAGACAGGTCCAATATCTTACCAGCCAAGGGGCACGTGAAATGGATTGAGCTTGAATTGATCTGGGTGGGCCTAGCCGGGCTGTGCTCAAGCACTTGGCTTGAGCCCCTTCGAAGAGCCAAGACGTGCCCCAAGCTTCAGAGCCATGCTTCAGTGCATTTCTACAGGAATCACTTGCACAAGTCGGGGCTAAAAGGGCATATTCTTCCTGTTCTCAGGCAAACTCGAGAACACATGTGACTCATGTGGTGAGTTCTCGTGCGAGCGCCAGGTCAAGGTGGATTTGGCCCTGTGCTTCCTAGCTGCGCTCCTGGAGCGGCGCCAGGCATGCCTGGCCAGGCCTGGTGGGGCGGGCATGGGTCCGATCCTGAGCATATAGTCTAGTGTCATGTCGACAAGGGTCAACCATGAGTCTCAGGAATCCCGAGAGTCAAATGCTGCCATCATTCGCACTTGTGGGGACGGAGAAAAAGGCAATAATAACGCAACCAGTGTCAGGTAATCAAAGGAAGTTTGGAAGGAACCTGTGAAGCTGTTTGCGTATCTTTTGTCAGTCTTTTCGAGAAAAACAAACTGTTTTTTTTGTGAAACAGCATTTTTTCAATTTTCGACCTTTTGGAGTTTTGTGGGTAGAGTGGGTCTTGGACGGCCCAAACAAAGGCGGAAAAACGCGGAACGAAGGCGGAAACAAACGGAAAAGGTCGGACAAGTCCGGAAATCTTAGATGAGCCAGGTTGCCTTTCCTCAAAAACGACCTTCTTTGCAAGCAACGGTCTTTTTTGCCGAACAACGACCAAATTGTGGTGCTTTCTGCTCGAAGGCGTTTTTTCGCACACTTGGGCTTCGCAGGAACTCTTGTGTTACTGGAACTATTCGAACTATAGTGCTCTCCAAGATTGCATGCACTTCTGTACGAACATTAAAGACTAGATGCACTTGCGTGAACAGCTACGAAAAAGCTGGAAAATGCAGAGCCGGCAAATAGAGGCGGGCGGAAAATTTGGCCCTGCGCGTGGAGCCGGCCATTCGGCAAGTCTCCGAGTGGGCTCGGAGCAGTGTCGACCATATTCAGAGGCCCGCCATTGGCGCGGGCGTGAACCGTTTGTCGACATTCGTGGGGTCGACCCTAAACAACTCGTGGTCTTCAGGGGTTTTCACTTTCGTGGGATGGGGGGGCAGAGGGGGAGGCGGGAGGGAGAGAGAGAGAGAGAGACTGAGAGAGACTGAGAAAGAGAGAGAGAGAACAAAAAAAAAAAAAACAAGAGAAGGAAAAACAGAGGCACACAGAAACGGAGGAAGAAAAGAGAAAGAGAAGGAGACGGACGCACAGACAGACAGAGCAAGAGAAATGAACAGAGCAAGCGAAAGAACCACAGAAAGAGAGTGAGGAGAGAGATGGGGAACCGAAGCGTGCTCCAAAATGTTAGCTCATATTTGTGAAGCTTCCCCCCCCCTCCGCCAGCTTTACTGGGAGTGAGAACAGGCGGGCAGTTTGACGGACAGGAGATGGGAAGGAGAATCATGGAAAATCCTTCTTGTTTTGCAGGCACCCAATTCTGCGCCAGGCAGCTTGCCCCTCTCAAGCAAAAGCAAGGCATGCCCAGGAAAGCCAAAAAAAGCATGCCTGCATGCCTTGCGTTTTGTTCAACAATCCAATGCCGCGCCCGACAGCTTGCCCCCTCGGCCAGGCCAGAACTTTGCCAAAAGTGCCAAATTGCGCATGCTATGCTACGCTTCACTTTGCCTGGGCTCTTTTGTTCGCCAATGTGTCCGGCCAATTTGCGTCATTGCTGGCGTTGGCGTCTGATATAACTTTGTGCAATTTCTTCGTCATTGTGCCACCGCTGCCGGGAGTCAGCAGGGAGTGGCAGCAAAGGACGGGCAAGAACGTGAGAAGACCTGCATGGTCTTGATTGCAAACTGTGCGAGGGCACCGGCCGCTAGACAGGCCTGATGTCATGGGAAGTGTGGGTCCTTGTATATTCGCCAGCGTTTCAGGCTGCTGGCATGTTTCACACTCTTCTATCCTTGGTTCGAGAACTGCACTGAACCTCTGCTGAAGCTGACCGGCAAGCCTGCTAGGCTTCCAGTTGAGACACTGCCAGCGGAAGATTCTGATCCGGAGACGAGTCCAGGCACGGGGCGCTCTTGTGGACAAACCATTTATATACGAGTTTGGCTCCTTGTTTTTCCTTTCCAAGCGCAAGAGCGTGGGTAAACCGACAAGCTGGAAGTCATGGCCCCAAAGCGTAGAGGCAGTGAAAGACAGGCACATGGCAGGGAATAAGCGGGCCGAGAAAGCTGCGGGTTGATCCCATCCCCAAATTGCCAAAACACAGTTTCTACCCGGGGGGTAGAAGCTTATTTGGATTGAAGTGGATATGCAAGACCTGCGTTTGGGTCCATGTTTGAAGGACTTTGTTTCTCTTGGGAGGCAGGGATGCCGGTGATGAAGTGGTTTCATGTTGATGTCATGTTCGAGTCGCTGTTCGAGCCTGGTTCAAGCTTGGGCTCTTTTTGCCACTTGGCACGGCCAGGACGAGTCTGCCAAGTGCGGGAGGCATTGGACAGCCGGGAGCCCTGAGCCGCCTGAGCCCGCGCCCTAGAGACTGGAGCCATGGACCCTAACATATCCTAACATCCCTCCGTTGTGCTTTGCGCGTGCGTTTGATTTCCAATTCCCAATCTCCGCTTGGGTTCTCGGAGAGTTGGGTGGGGGACGGGGGGTTGGGCAGAAGTGCCGCACACGCACACAGGCCACGTGCAGAAGTCCTTCGCCGGGTTAGCGTCAACCTCGGCAGGGTCCATGTGGGTGTCAAGCAGTTCAGAGATTCGGGCACTCCCTTTTTAGATGTTGCTCAAAGGAAGGCCACTCTGAAATCCCACATGTTTAGGGCCACTTGCTTTTGGGCAGACGCTGGCTCCACCATTTTGAAGTGTAGCATCTTTGTCTTTTTTGTTTTCTGTTGGTAGTTTCTAAGTGCAGTGGTGCTTTTCGGCCAAGCATTCGGTCGCTATAGAGCTTGGTGTTTGCATGTTCGATGGCCCTGTCCCTGTTTGGGTGTTTCGATCAACTTAGGGACCCTTTAAGTGGGTGCCTTTTGTGTTCTCCCAGGCATCCCTATTTGGGTGTCCTTTTTAGGCGAGCCCCCAAAATGGTTGTTTTCCATTTGGTTTCCCCAACTAAAGCCAAAAATGGGGGGTACCTTGAAGGAACAAAGAAAAGACACAGAGACATCCACAGAAAACAAATGTGCGCGGGGAGTTCAGGTTCAGCTCATGCACTTCGAGGCCAAGAAAGAGGCCAAGGTCCGGGAGCTGGCGGCGAGCTTCCTGAAGGCCAGGGATTGCTTGCGATTTCTCAGGGCAACCGTCTTGTTGGTTTGGAGGGGGGGACTGGGGGAACCACATGTCTGTAAACTAACAAGAAGGAGAGTTACTGTGTATGGGGTCCCCGAATCTTATGGGGTTCGAGCGAGTAGCCATGATGTCGATTCTTTAATCTGGGATCCCTCGGTTCAGGTGTTGGAGCTCTTGTAGAATTGCCGGATGGCGTGGCTTTGCCTCAGCTTCCCATAATTGTTTCAACAATCTTCATTTGATTCCCTTTCTACTGCGGCAGCGCGTGCTTTAGTTTGATTTGCATGGAAAACAGGCAGCAACACATGTTTGGCGCCCCCCCTATTTTGAGACACGCCCATTTTTCGCGCCTTTGGCACGAACAACGATGCGCTAAAGAATCCGGGGTCTCAACCCCTTGCTGCATGAAGGCAGAAGCAACCCAAATAACTTGAACGCTTGTGTCACTTAGCCCCCCCCCCCCCCCCACGAACCAGTTGCATTTCACAGGATGCGCTTGTTCTGCAGCTATGGCGGGGATGAGCCGGCACAGCCGAGCGACATTGAAAGTCGGGTGTTTTGCTCCGCACCCGCAGCATGGCCCGAGCTCCATGCGTTGCATTTTCTGGGGCTGAGAGCGGTCACCTCTTTTGACGCAACTCTTGGCTCGAGGCTTGGCCTGGTAGTGAGCATGGCAACCGTTTGGCGCTCAGCGTTGCACTTGAATCTGTGCTCAAAGCCTTGCCCTGATGCACCTAGGCTAATGGCTCCACAGGGTCCAGGAGCCAAACCGAGGGCAGCGGGGGTTGCCAACTTTTTTGGGGGATGGCTTTGTGTCATGGTGAGCCATGATGGCAAAGTCTGGCGAACACCTGTCATGTCATGCCACAGCAAGTAGATTGGCTGGCTTCAGCGGGAAGCCAACCTTCCCCAATCCAGAGAGGCATGCCCATGCTGTGGTCAGTGATTGAGCGCTGGCACGCAAACTTTCAAAATCTGGTATATCTACCCTTTATATTAGATACGGGTATGCGCCCGATATTTCCTTGTATGTGCAACACAGGAGGTAATATATGAGGGTAAATGCCTCATTTTCCCTTATACGTCCAATGCATGACGGGTGTATTCCAAAATCGTGGGACCCTGGGATCGTGGGCTTCGTTTCGGGTCAGGACTGCTCTGGAGGAGGTGGACACCAAGGGCAGCTTCAAGCGGGTGGACTCCGCATGGCGTAGCTCCATCGAGGAAGGTGGCCGCTTCAGCCCCGCCTCTGGGCGCAGCTCGGACGGATGGACACGCTCAGTCCGCGGGTGTTGGGAGGGAACCCAGTGTTTTTGCTTTTCCCTTCACAGGCATTTTGACACACTAGCTGGGAGCCATAGCAAGAGCCCTAGCAAGAGCCGTTGCAGCCGAGTGGCCCACTGAGGACTGTTTTGGGGGTAACGACCTTCCTATGGCTTCCCTTGTGTAGCCAGGCAGTTGGACCCTAGTAGCGCCCAAGTAGGTGGTTCTGCCTGGTTCCACTACGTATTGCTTGCGGTTGTAGTATGTAAGGCCAGGCAGGCAGCTTCTCTTGCTGCAGTTGGTGCTTGTCCGAACGCCATACGGCAAGGCTAGGATGCCCTGACATCCCACGCAGACAAGCCGCACGTGCGATTGCTTGCAGGTTACCACCTCTACATAGCACTGGCATGCCCATGGGCAGATGGAGTGCTCGCCGCGCTCTTCATGCACCCCGATCGAAACAGGGCAGGGTGGACACATGGTGGCCCTTTGCAGGTCCATAGGCCAGGCATGGACACGCAGCAATGACCAGGGTTGGCTAGCCGTCAGTCCACCACAGACGAATAAGAGGAGAGAGAGAGAGAGAGAGAGAAGAGCAAGCGGCGTTCCATTCTTTCAATAGTTGCTGCCAGCAACACGCGTTTTGAGTGATTCTTGGCCTGGGCGAGGTTCGGAAAGTGCAGGGGCCCGCCAAGACCTCTTTTCCACCCCAGAGACATGGAAAAGTAGTCCTGGTTGCGCATTTGGGGTCTCTTGAAAGGACCCTTCCATGGCTGCTTGGAGGCTTGAAGCTTCGAACAAACAGATAGCGAGAAGCTGCGAAAGTGAGCTCAGCACAAAGGCCATGCATCCAGGGAATGGCTTGGGAAAGAACAAGCGCAGAAAACGCAGCACCATGGAAGACCACAGGAGTAGCTTTGTTTGACGCTGATCGTGCAAGAAGGCTTGCAAGTTCAAGCCGCCTTCTTTGGAGTCTTGAAGGTGCAGGCGACAGAGACTTCTCATACCAGCAGAATTTGCTTTGTTGGTTAAAGGGCGACTGTTTTAGCCCGAAGCAGCATGATTTGAGGACAATCGGAGTGCCAGAGGCCAAGATAAACTCATGTTTGGGCCACACGATCGCGAAAGCAATTTGAGGAAGGGCCTGGAAGATTGCATCGGCTACAGCGTGACGCACCCGACCTGGCAGCGCAGCCGCCCCGAGAGGCCGGCAGGATTGGGGATTCCTTCCTTTTGGGGAAAGTGCAAATAAACAGAGCAATTCTGGGGAACACCAACAAATCGCGAGAGTCAACAGTAGGTACTAGCCATGGTTGGGCTAAGTGAGCAAATCAGATGCATTTTGACATGCTTGCGGGTGTGTGTCACACTTGAACGGCTTCAGTCACTGTTGGCACAACACTGTACTTTGCACTGGGTTTAATTGCCTCAGACGGTCTATTTAAGACACCGCCCTTCATGAAAGGGCTCCGGCCGGTCACATCCTGAGTGAGGAATCCTTCGCCGGTCTTCCCCTTGGGCTTGCAACATTGTGCGATGCCAGCCAGTTCAAACCATGCGCCATCCTTCAGAACATGCAGCACGCAGCACACACCTACCATCCGCAAAACAATTGTTTCGTCACTTCGCGGAAAGACACGGCCGGTCCGAGGACTGAGGACCAACACCTGGGCTGGGCCTTCCGAAAGGTGGGGGACCCCCCGCTGGCCAACGCGCTGGGCGCTTCGGCGAAGCCTGGGAATTCAAGCCCATTGGGAGAGTCAAAGGCAAACTTGGACGAAAAATCAGCTACACAGCCAACCGAAAGGATTCAAAAGAGCGGATCTCTGAACTGGTTGGGACTGGCAGAGTATCTATGAATCGTTCATGTTTGAGGTTATGGCGGCTTCGAGTGTGACGATGCGCTGGTGCCAGATTTGGTCAACGGCGCTCAGTTCGTCCGGGACCTGTATGAAAAGGCCGCCTGGCCGCTTCCAGTCAAGACTCAACGGCTCAGCCTGAGATACAGCGAGGACTGCTTACAACATGCATACACATGTATATGTACTGTTATTCTTGTAATAGTAGAGCCGGCAGAGCCGGTGGGCGGAAGTTTCTAAAGCGAGAAAAGTGCCTATATGAAGAGCTTGACTTGTATGTTTTTTGTATTTGTTTGCGCTCTTTCTTTGTCTCTGTATTTTTCTTTCTTTCCTTCCTTCCTTCCTTGCTTCCTTCCTTCCTTCCTTCCTTCCTTCCTTTTCTTTCTCCGCTTCCCGAAGAGTGTATCTTTGGCCTCCACACGCTGTGGCACAACAGACAATCCCAAACCAACAGAAGGAGTCAAAACCGGGGGAATTCAAAACAGGGACCGCCCTACCGTAAGAGCTTGTCTTTGGCCTCAACAAACTGTATGCAAAAGATCAGTGCCCTACCTTTCCCCCATTCGAGTGGCCCCGGCTACAACCCCAAACTGACAGGGGGGAACTAAAACAGGGGGAGTCAAGACAAGGCGCGCCTTTTTTGCTATGTCGCTCAAAACCTGCTGGCGCTGGCTGACTTTTGAAGTCCAGTATCTGCACTTGCGGTGGCAGCCAACGAACACTCACAGTGGCAGTTAAAGCACGCCCGGTGGCCTGAACTGGCGCACCGGACGTGAGCATCAAGGAGGCCCCATGCCAGCAGCTGCTACGTTGCTTGGGGGCGCAAGCTCGTCTCGCGACTGCGAGAAGACGCCCAGCTGCGCGTGGTTGCAAAAACCCATGGTCGATTTTGACGAGTTTGATCCGCCGTCTCTGGCTTGCTTACAGGTGCAACGCTGGAAGATTGTGCCTCCGCAGGAGTTGCAATTTTACCGCCAGCGGTGGGCTGGCAGACAAGAGCTGCTCGCTCCTTGACTCACGGGTCCTTGCCTGAGTTTCTGCAAATGACGCCGCGTTCTCGAACGAAGCGGTAGACTGACAGCCCACTGCAGTTTGGCTCGGGCTGCGGCCTCATCTAAGGCGTCCGCAACTTCGAAAGTGACGCGCGCGCCCTTTTCGTCGTCGCGCGCGGGGTCTTCCAGCAGCATGCGAGACACGATCTGCAGCCGGCCCACGAGCTCGTAGGCCCCTGCGGAGACCTGCCCGACAGCGTCCACGGCGACGACCGTCAGAAAGCTTGACAAGCGGCACTCCGGGTCTGCAGAAGTCTGCAGAGAGTTGCAGCAGCGGCTTTGCCGTGCCAACAAATGCCGCGAGCTGCGGCTGAGCGAAAACATGCGAAAACTACTTCGACCCTCGTCATTGCCGGTCTGTTTTCGTAGCCGACTTCTCGGCGCAGCACGGCCCGCAAGCGCCAGTTCGTGAGCTCAACTTTTGCGAGCGCTCCGGCCACATTTGCAATGCGCTGCCCAGGCTGGACGCCCGCTGCCGCGAGAAACACGGCGTCGGCCACGCGTGTGAACAACTTCATGGTTGCGAAAGCGCTGCGCTTGCCACGAAATCTGCACCTTGGGCTGCCAAAGTGCTGCGCCTGCCACGCAAAATGGACCTCCGAAAACGTCTGCACGAGCATTACAGTGGGCAACATTCCGAGAACGTGGCGAGAGCGTGGAGAGACCGCACGCTGAACAGGGGTACAATTCGCGTGTTTCGCATGTCTGACTCTACTTTTTGTATTGCGGAAGTTTTCTAACTAAACTTGCTTTGATAATATTCGTATATATGTGTGTATATATTTTTTTATCTATATATCTATATACACATTATGATACACAAACTTATGTCAGCAAACAAACTCCGCTGGCTGTTCACCTGAGGCCGGGGACACAGCTGGCAAGTACTCCACGCCAGTGCTTTGGGACAAGGAGGAAGGCACCATCGTGAACAACGAGTCCATGGAGATCCTTCGCAGCTTCACAGTCAATGATCAGTGTTGTAGCAGCCGAAGGTCGAGACCTTGCTAGAAGGCAAAAAGTGTTCCTGTTTTGGGTCCTTATGTGCAGACCAGACTGGGAGAAGCGAGCTGGTTTTGCGCCACAACTTTCTGCAGCTCAGGCATGCTGAATAGCAAGTTCAACAAGTGGGCAAAGAATCCAGACCTGGACTTATTTCCAGCGAGCCTGGCCACAGAAGCAGACGCTGCAAATGCCTGGGTCTACCCCAGCATCAACAATGGGGTCTACAGGCAGGCGGATCCAGCAACATGTCGAAGACAAACCCAAAGGAATCCAGACACGAGGCGTTCTCTTGAGAAACATCCTAGAGAGGGTGAATACGCATGATGCGATCATCTATTTGTACCCTCCCGCAGCTTTTTTTCTTCCATCGCACCCCCAAACAGGTCCTGCCCTGTAAGAGCTCCACGCACACGCTCGAAAGGTGTGGATTCGCAAAAAGCCAGGAGGCCTACGACATTGCCGTCAAGGAGCAGTGTTTGTTTGGCATGGGTGGGCGCATGAGAAAAAGGTTCCTCGTTGAGAGTTTGAGCGTGGTTGAGCTGTTTTGCTTTCCACCATGTAGGCAAATGAACTCGGATTTCATCCACCCGTGCCAACAGCACCCCCGATGTGGAGAGCGCTCGGGCTACCGGCTTGCGCCAGGAGTTGTCGGAAGCGCTGGCGAGGGCGGAGACCGTGCTGTCGAAGCAGCGGTACGTTTGCGGGGAACCTTTGAATGGACGGTGAAAGAAACCAAGGGAGACAAGTATATAGGTGGCGCAACGTGTGTGGATCTAGGGGGCAGCATCCCTTGCGTACTTCTAATGCGCTTTGTGGTGGGCTAATGAAGGTTCATCGTCACTTTGCACAGACAACTGTCGTCGTATGAACAATGTGAGGTCTACGTATGCATTGATGGTGCGGGTCAGGGTATGTGAGGGTATTTGCGGGCGGGATGGGACCCCGACAAGCAAGAATCTTACTTATTTGGCCTTGTCATTCTTTCGCTGTCATGGATTTCGACCCCTTGCTGGCCGGGAACCATCATGTGCGTGGTGTTTTCAAGGCTGCACCAGCCGTAAGCTTGCTTGGGGACCTGCTTGAAACCCCCCGATTGTTCCGTTCACTGCGAGAGAGAGAGAGAGAGAGAGCGCGAGAAACGGCGAGAGACACAGAGGGGGAGAAAGAGAGAGAGAGAGAGAGAAAAAGAGTGAGACAAAGAGAGAGCCCAGGACACCTTCACCTTCATGGACCTTCGGCTCTTCATGACCTTGGTCCGCTTTGATGCGGTCTACGTGGTATACTTCAAGACCAACGTGGGCACCATCGAGCACGACTACCCCAACCTGCTGGAGTATTGCAGGGATGTGTACCAGATGCCCGGCGTGGCAAAGGCCGGAACAGGGGCTGGCAACGACGAAGACGCCGATCCCAGTGCGAAGGGGCCTTTGTGTTGTGTTTGTTGTCTTTCCCCAGCTGGATTGGATCGCCCCAGGCGATCAACATGCGCCACATCAAGATGCACTATTTCACGTCGCACCCAGATCTGAACAAGTTCGGCATCATTCCCCGCGGCCGCGATGTAGATTTTAGTGCCCCCCACAAGCGCCAGAAGCTGACAAAATGAGCTTGAAATAGGGAGGCGGCGAGCCTCCGACTTGGTTTCTTCTGACCCGGTGCCTGTGGCCCGGAAAGCTTAGCTCGTCGTTTGGGCGCGCGCATTTTTGCATTTTCTGCATCTCCTTTGATGGGCTCCGGGCTTTGCTGTTCTGAGTTTCTTGTGATTTGAGTTGCTTTTGCAACCGTTTTTTTTTTCAGAGTGGAGCTTTGTTGGCCCCGGGCTTCATGGGTGGCGCACCCAGTTTGCCGACCTCCGCGCCTACAAATGCAGGGCGGAGGCAGCGCGGAGCATTGGTTGCCATGCCAAAAGTGCGTGCCCGTCGTGCGCCTGTGGGGCTGGAGCTGGAGGGCCAGGCCGGGTACCGCCTACGCATCTCGAGATTGGGCGGGCCACCTATGACTTACTTGTACAAAATGAGGCTTGCAATGGTGCTTGTAGGCATTGTTCCCCAGCGGGACCTTCAATGATCACTTCAGGTGTGACAGAACCGAACATCCTGAGCACGTGAGAGCTGACCCTGACAAGATCTGACAAGTGTGACTTGCGATAGCGGGACCGGAACCGTGACGGGCCGCTACTGGCCGAACCCAATCAGCCAGTGACTGGACCCCGGGCATGCTGCTTGGGAGTGTTCTGGCGATGATTGTGATGATAGGTTGCTGAGTGCCAACCTGAACGAGCTCAGGAAGAGGCCCTGGCATAGCTCAAAATGTCCAACCTGTCTGCTTTTGCCTGCGTGACACCCACGCTGCGTGTGGTGCTGCGCGCAGCGCCTCGCGCGGTTAGCGCGACCCAGACGGGCGCTGCGCCCAGCGCTGTGAGCGCAAGGCGGAGCCATGGTTCGTGGGCCGCGCCGGCGTCCGCGGCAGCTGTCCTGGGGTGCCGCGGGGCAAGACGCGTGTCAAAGCTGCGGCGGCGGGCTGGCGAGGAGGCGCACGGGGGGGGGGCCTCACACTCTTTGAGCTTATGAAGGCAAAGTCTGACCAACTTTTGGGGGCCATTTAGGTACTTTGGAGATAACGGCGAGCCCTTCCCCAGAGGCGGACACCAAGGGCAGCTTCAAGCGAGTGGATGCTGCGTGGCGGAGCTCCATCGAGGAAAACGGCCCCTTCAGCCCCGCCTCCGGGCGCAGCTTGGCCCAAAAGTCAAAGATATTGTCTGAAATGGGACTCGTTCAGACTCGTTGAAGCAGCTCCAGCTGGCTGGGCCAAAGGGAATGCGGTTCAAAAGGGCAATTGTATGCAGCCTTTGGTGACAAGCAGAGTTCCACAACACATGCCTACACAATGTTTTTTGTTTGAATCATTATTACACATGCACATACAACATATTTGTATACTGCTGTTTAACAAAAAATGCGCTGCCCTTTGGGCTATTGGCTTTGTTTTGGTGGCAGTTGCGAGTTGCTCGGAGCTGGTGCAGGGTGACCATTGGGCTGGCTGAAATCTTAATGACGGCAGGTCTTCGGTTTGTTTGGGGTCTAAAATTTAGGCTGAGGCCATGATGTCAAGAAGGGGAGCAAAACGTATGCCGCAAGTGCGATTCCTTGCAGGCTACCACCTATACGTAGCGCTGGCATGCCCATGGGCAGATGGAGTGCTCGCCGCGCTCTTCATGCATCCCGGACGAAGCACGGTGGAGTGAGTGAGTGAGTGAGTGAGTGAGGGAGGGAGGGAGGGAGGGAGCGAGCGAGCGAGCGAGTGAGGGAGCGAGCGAGGGACGAGGGAGCGAGTGATTGAGTGAGTGAGTGCGTGAGTGTGTGAGTGAGTGAGTGAGTGAGGTGAGGTGAGGTGAGGTGAGGTGAGGTGAGGTGAGGTGAGGTGAGGTGAGGTGAGTGAGTGAGTCAGTGAGCGAGCGAGCGAGTGAGGGAGCGAGCGAGGGACGAGGGAGCGAGTGATTGATTGAGTGAGTGAGTGTGTGAGTGAGTGAGTGAGTGAGGTGAGGTGAGGTGAGGTGAGGTGAGGTGAGGTGAGGTGAGGTGAGGTGAGGTGAGTGAGTGACGTGAGGTGAGGTGAGGTGAGTGAGGTGAGTGAGGTGAGTGAGTGAGTGAGTGAGTGAGTGAGTCAGTGAGTCAGTGAGTCAGTGAGTCAGTGAGTCAGTGAGTCAGTGAGTCAGTGAGTCAGTGAGTGTGTGAGTGATTGAGTGAGTGAGTGAGTGAGTGAATGAATGAGTGAATGAGTGAATGAGTGAATGAGTGAATGAGTGAATGAGTCAGTGACTCAGTGAGTCAGTGAGTCAGTGAGTCAGTGAGTCAGTCGGTCAGCGAGGGAGTGAGTGAGCGAGTGAGCGAGTCAGTGAGTCAGTGAGTCAGTGAGTCAGTGAGCGAGGGAGCGAGGGAGCGAGGGAGCGAGGGAGCGAGGGAGCGAGGGAGCGAGGGAGCGAGTGAGCGAGTGGGCGAGTGAGTGAGTGAGTGAGTGGGTGAGAGAGCGAGTCAAGTTTGCCTCACCTGCTTGGCCCTTGGGGGCTAGGGGGTGACACGCGGGTCATCTCGTCGTAGAAGTGGGGGCTGCTGCAGACATGAGTCGGAGCAAGTGCGGGCCGCCCATTTGGTTGGCAGGTATTGCGCACACACAATGGCAAAAATACTCAAAACACAAACTCAGGCCAAATCAGCCTGATTTGGTTAAGATCAGCTTGCAAAGGTTGGTTGTTTCAAGCACACTGCCTGGGATGCGCGCGATCGATTTGAGGAAGGGCCTGGAAGATTGCATCGGCTACAGCGTGACACACCCGACCTGGCAGCGCAGCCGCCCGGAGAGGCCAGGATTTGGGTTTCCAAACCAGGGGTCCACCTTTTCTGAGTGTTTGATTGAAAATGCACAAAATGCAAGTAAAGCTAGGGGGCCTTTTTTGAAATCTTTGGATGTAGCCGTGTTGAGCCGTCACGCGCCACGGACACAGGCCAGGTGAGTGATGGGTTCTAGCAAAAGGTTGGAACGTTGGATGTAACCCTCAAAACCGTGTGAGCTGAGAGCAAGTACCATCAGCTGGACCAAATGATGGCAAAGTATGGCATCAACGCACACAAACAGAAGAACCTACCACGCGCAAATTACTTTTGGAGGGTGGTTTGCCCCGGCAAAAGAAACAAAAACAAGGTGGTTTGCCTTCAAACCACTGTTCGCGGATTTCCGGGGCCTTTGCCTGTGCCCTTAACATCCGAGGCCTGAGGACCCTCACATGGGCTGGGCCTTCAGAAAGCCTGGGGACCCCCCGCTGGCCAACGCACTTGGCGCTTCGGCTTGGACATTGGCCGGGAATTGGGATCAAGCTGAATTATGATGTACCCAGGTTTGGGTTGCGGCTTATCTCGGCAGAACGTGTCTTATGCGTGAGACGTGATAAGACCTTGGGTGGATTAGATGGATTTGATGGTCTGAAGTGTCATGAACAATCAAGCAATAGACATCAGCGTTAAAGGTTGACCCAGTGAGCACAATCTGCCCCTCGAAGAGGAGGCCTGTGATTCAGCAGCATTCCATCCACTACGAACGCTGTGCAGTTTGCCACTTCAATCTACTGTGGTTAACTTTGAGGATCATAAGGGCTGCACCCAAGGTTGTTTGGAAACATGTCGCAGGCGGTCAATTGATTTCCAAGTTTGACAAGGCCTGAGTCAAGTGAAGAAGTAGCTTCCATATGGAGATTCAAAATACAGGAGCAAGCTTGGATGGGGATTGCTCAAAATCGGGCAGCGATCAGGGAAATTGGGCTTGAAACAAACTGAATCTGATGTTGAAGATTCTCCAACCCGATTGAGCTGACAACTTAGAACATGCAGAAGAGGAGCAACAATTCTCAGCGTGTTGGGGAGGTCGTCTTCGATTTTTCAAGCTTGTGCCCTTGAAAGGCAGGTTTAACGTGCCTTGTTTGGCCCTCGCCCACTAGACGCAGGATGCAACAAACGTGCATCCAATTCGATTTTCGAGGCACAGATCACTTTTTGCAGTGACTTCGCAACAGGTCCCAACTTCGAGCAATCCTCGTTGAGGTCATGGCAGCTTCGAGTGTGACGATGCGCTGGTGCCAGATTCGGTCAACGGCGCTCAGTTCGTCCGGGACCTGTATGAAAAGGCTGCCTGGCCGCTTTCAGCCACAACTCAATGGCCTCAGGTTTGATGAAGCGAGGAACACAAGCATATTACAATGATATACTACATGAATTATATATAAATTCTATGCATATACATATGTATGTATGCATGCATGCATGTATGTACGTAATGTATGTATGTATGTATGTAATGTAATGTAATGTAATGTAATGTAATGTAATGTAATGTAATGTAATGTAATGTAATGTATGTATGTATGTATGTAATGTAATGTATGTAATGTAATGTATGTAATGTATGTATGTATGTATGTATGTATGTATGTATGTATGTATGTATGTATGTATGTATGTAATGTATGTATGTATGTATGTATGTATGTATGTATGTATGTATGTATGTATGTATGTATGTATGTATGTATGTATGTATGTATGTATGTATGTATGTATGTATGTATGTATGTATGTATGTATGTATGTATGTATGTATGTATGTATGTATGTATGTATGTATGTATGTATGTATGTATGTATGTATGTATGTATGTATGTATGTATGTATGTATGTATGTATGTATGTATGTATGTATGTATGTATGTATGTATGTATGTATGTATGTATGTATGTATGTATGTGTATGTATGTATGTATGTATGTATGTATGTATGTATGTATGTATGTATGTATGTATGTATGTATGTATGTATGTATGTATGTATGTATGTATGTATGTATGTATGTATGTATGTAATGTATGTATGTATGTATGTATGTATGTATGTATGTAATGTATGTATGTAATGTATGTATGTAATGTAATGTAATGTAATGTAATGTAATGTAATGTAATGTAATGTAATGTAATGTAATGTAATGTAATGTAATGTAATGTATGTATGTATGTATGTATGTATGTATGTATGTATGTATGTATGTATGTATGTATGTATGTATGTATGTATGTATGTATGTATGTATGTATGTATGTATGTATGTATGTATGTATGTATGTATGTATGTATGTATGTATGTATGTATGTATGTATGTATGTATGTATGTATGTATGTATGTATGTATGTATGTATGTATGTATGTATGTATGTATGTATGTATGTATGTATGTATGTATGTATGTATGTATGTATGTATGTATGTATGTATGTATGTAATGTATGTATGTATGTATGTATGTATGTATGTATGTATGTATGTATGTATGTAATGTATGTATGTATGTATGTATGTATGTATGTATGTATGTATGTATGTATGTATGTATGTATGTATGTATGTATGTATGTATGTATGTATGTATGTAAATGTAATGTATGTATGTATGTATGTATGTATGTATGTATGTATGTATGTATGTATGTATGTATGTATGTATGTATGTATGTATGTATGTATGTATGTATGTATGTATGTATGTATGTATGTATGTATGTATGTATGTATGTATGTATGTATGTAATTAATGTAACGTATGTATGTATGTATGTATGTATTGTTTGTATGCATTGTATGTAATGTATGTATGTATGTATGTATGTATGTATGTACGAATGGAATGTAATGTAATGTAATGCAATCTAATCTAATGTAATGTAATGTAATGCAATGTATGTATGTAACGCAATGTAATGTAATGTAATGTAATGTAGTGTAATGTATGTACGTACGTATGTATGTGTGTAATGTAAGCATGTATGTTTGTATGTGTTTATGTTATGTTCTGTTATGTTATGTTATGTCATGTATGTATGTATGGAATGTATGTAATGTATGTATGTATGCATGAAAGTATGAATGTAATATTATGTTATGTTGTGTTGTGGTGTGTTATGTTATGTTATGTATGTATGTATGTATGTAATGTATGTATGTATGTAATGTATGTATGTAATGTTATGTTATGTTATGTAATGTTATGTTTTCTGTTATGTCATGTAATGTTATGTATGTATTGAATGTATGTATTGAATGTATGTAATGTATGTATGTATGTATGTATGTATCGAATGTAATGTAATTTAATGTAATGTAATGTAATGTAATGTAATGTAGGTATGTATGTATGTATGTATGTATGTAATGTATGTATGTATGTATGTATGTATGTATGTATGTATGTATGTATGTATGTATGTATGTATGTATGTATGTATGTATGTATGTATGTATGTATGTATGTATGTATGTATGTATGTATGTATGTATATGTATGTATGTATGTATGTATGTATGTATGTATGTATGTATGTATGTATGTATGTATGTATGTATGTATGTATGTATGTATGTATGTATGTATGTATGTATGTATGTATGTATGTATGTATGTATGTATGTATGTATGTATGTATGTATGTATGTATGTATGTATGTATGTATGTATGTATGTATGTATGTATGTATGTATGTATGTATGTATGTATGTATGTATGTATGTATGTATGTATGTATGTATGTATGTATGTATGTATGTATGTATGTATGTATGTATGTATGTATGTATGTATGTATGTATGTATGTATGTATGTATGTATGTATGTATGTATGTATGTATGTATGTATGTATGTATGTATGTATGTATGTATGTATGTATGTATGTATGTATGTATGTATGTATGTATGTATGTATGTATGTATGTATGTATGTATGTATGTATGTATGTATGTATGTATGTATGTATGTATGTATGTATGTATGTATGTATGTATGTATGTATGTATGTATGTATGTATGTATGTATGTATGTATGTATGTATGTATGTAATGTATGTATGTATGTATGTATGTATGTATGTATGTATGTATGTATGTATGTATGTATGTATGTATGTATGTATGTATGTATGTATGTATGTATGTATGTATGTATGTAATGTATGTATGTATGTATGTATGTATGTATGTATGTATGTATGTAATGTAATGTAATGTAATGTAATGTAATGTAATGTAATGTAATGTAATGTAATGTAATGTAATGTAATGTAATGTAATGTAATGTAATGTATGTATGTATGTATGTATGTATGTAATGTAATGTAATGTAATGTAATGTAATGTATGTAATGTATGTATGTAATGTAATGTAATGTAATGTAATGTATGTATGTATGTAATGTATGTAATGTAATGTAATGTAATGTATGTAATGTATGTATGTATGTATGTATGTATGTATGTATGTATGTATGTATGTATGTATGTATGTATGTATGTATGTATGTAATGTATGTATGTATGTATGTATGTATGTATGTATGTATGTATGTATGTATGTATGTATGTATGTATGTATGTATGTATGTATGTATGTATGTATGTATGTATGTATGTATGTATGTATGTATGTATGTAATGTATGTATGTAATGTATGTATGTATGTATGTATGTATGTATGTATGTATGTATGTATGTATGTATGTATGTATGTATGTATGTATGTATGTATGTATGTATGTATGTATGTGTATGTATGTATGTATGTATGTATGTATGTATGTATGTATGTATGTATGTATGTATGTATGTATGTATGTATGTATGTATGTATGTATGTATGTATGTATGTATGTATGTATGTATGTATGTATGTATGTATGTATGTATGTATGTATGTATGTATGTATGTATGTATGTATGTATGTATGTAATGTATGTATGTAATGTATGTATGTATGTATGTATGTATGTAATGTAATGTAATGTAATGTAATGTAATGTAATGTAATGTCATGTCATGTCATGTCATGTAATGTAATGTAATGTAATGTAATGTAATGTAATGTATGTAATGTATGTAATGTAATGCAATGTAATGTAATGTAATGTAATGTAATGTAATGTAATGTAATGTATGTAATGTATGTAATGTAATGCAATGTAATGTAATGTAATGTAATGTATATTATGTATATTATGTATATTATGTACATTATGTATATTATGTATATTATGTATATTATGTATATGTGTATGTGTAATTACGTTCCCCCACCCCGATTCCCCCGCCAAACAATAACTACACATGAACCTGCCAAATCTGAGAATTCGCTTATCTGCAGTGTTGTTTGCCTTTTTGTTTGAAAAAAACCCAACAACGCGCAGTTCCGAAGGTAATCTGGAGGCTCAGCTCTGGAAGCTTCAGGCTTTGGACCAAAACAACAAAGCACACAGAAAGCAGACAAGACAAACTCTCAGTCTGAGAGAAAGGGTGACTGGCTGACATTCTTTCGAGAAGCTGTGTGTTCTTTCTTGTTTGTTTTTACATTGCTTTTTGTTTGACGTGCTTCCCCAGATGCTCCTGAACATTCCGCCACCTGTGCGCCCGAGGCCGGGGACACAGCTGGCAAGTACTCCACGCCAGTGCTTTGGGACAAGGAGGAAGGCACCATCGTGAACAACGAGTCCATGGAGATCCTTCGCAGCTTCACAGTCAATGATCAGTGTTGTAGCAGCCGAAGGTCGAGACCTTGCTAGAAGGCAAAAAGTGTTTCTGTTTTGGGTCCTTATGTGCAGACCAGACTGGGAGAAGCGAGCTGGTTTTGCGCCACAACTTTCTGCAGCTCAGGCATGCTGAATAGCAAGTTCAACAAGTGGGCAAAGAATCCAGACCTGGACTTATTTCCAGCGAGCCTGGCAACAGAAGCAGACGCCGCAAATGCCTGGATCTACCCCAGCATCAACAATGGGGTCTACAGGCACCCTGCTATCCTGCAAACTTCAGCATAGTCGTCTTGTTTTGGGTTCCAGTTTTGGATTGTTTTGATGGCAAACTCCAAGGAAAATCACACGCCAGGGTCTTATTTTGAGAAACGCCCAAGCGAGGCTGAATATACGCAGGCGCAAATGTCCAACTGACTTGCACCCTCCAGCTTTGACTTCCGGCGCCCCAAATGGATCCCTACTGTAAGAACAGTGCCGCAATTGGCCCACAGGTGTGGATTTGCGCAAAGCCAGGAGGCTTATGACATTGCTGTCGAGGAGCAGTGTGTGTTTGTCATGAGTTGGGTGCATGACAGCATTTTCCGATTCCGTCCTTCCCACGGTGGCAAATGAGCTTGCCATCAACTGCGGTGGTGCCCATCTTGGAAATCGCTGGTTGACAGCTTGCGCCAGGAGCTGTCGGAAGCGCTGGCGAGGGCGGAGGACTTGCTGTCGAAGCAGCGCTTCCTTTGCGGGGAAGCTTCGCTGTGAATTCGAAGGCACAGGGTCATAGGGAGAATAATAAATATAGCGCGTCGGAAATTTGCGGTTTTTTGAATGTTCATGGCCCGCAAAGAAACAGACATCAAGTGAAAACTGTGTGTTGCCTAACTTGATTCTGGGGGATAAGGGTTTTGTAAGAATTTTGTTCCAACAAGAATAGGTGACAAGGATCCTATTCGACCCAATCTTCGCGGCCGTAAATGGGAATTCGCAGGCGGCTGCCATGCCATGGTTGGTGGTGTTTTTCCAGACATCCAGATCCTACGGTTGGCCAGAGAGCGCGCCCAGGACACCTTCACCTTCATGGACCTGCGGCTCTTCATGACCTTGGTCCGCTTTGATGCGGTCTACGTGGTGTACTTCAAGACCAACGTGGGCACCATCGAGCACGACTACCCCAACCTGCTGGAGTATTGCAGGGATGTGTACCAGATGCCCGGCATGGCAAAGGCCGGAACAGGAAAGGCCACTAGCAGTGCGATTTCTGTGGCCATGTTTGAGCTCAGGCCATGATGCAAGGCATCACACGTCACTCAGCCATGAGCAATTTTTACCATAACGGCGTCCCCAATACGAACAGGCCCTTCGTGTGGTTCCCCGCCCGGCAGGTTTTGGGGGCAAAAGCGCGGGTCCCTGTCAGTACTTTTGGTTCCTTGTTGCTTTCGGGATTTGACGCAGCTCATTGCAGAGCGACTGGCAGAATGGCCTCATTCACTTTGGGCTGGTTTGTTTGCAAGCATGGGCAAAGTCAATTCAATACTCAGGTGAGGTAACTCGTCTAAATTATGTTTCGGTTGGCGCATGTAGTTTGCTCAGATTGTCCCAGGCAATCAATATGCGCCACATCAAGATGCATTACTACACATCCAACGCAGAGATGAACAAGTTCGGCATTATTCCTCGCGGCCGCAATGTAGATTTCACTGCTCCTCACAAGCGCCAGAAGCTGTGAACATGAGTTTGGAAGGAACCGCTGACCGGTTTTAGTCCAATCGAGTGTGCCTGGCTGGCCTGGAAGCTCGCCTTTTGGAAAGGCACGCTTTGCATTTTCTGCGTCTCCATTGGCTCCGGGCTTCGTTTTGTTTTGGTTTTCCACGGGGACTCAAACGCTTTGGAGCTTTGCTGGCCCGCGCTGGCCCCAGGCTTCATGGGCTGCGCTCCTTGTTTGACGACTGCCTCCCCGCCTGCAGACGCAGGGCAGAGCATTGGTTGCCAAACCAAAGGTGCTGGTGAGTCAAAAAGGCCTGCGGCCTGACCGGGGGCTGGAAGGCGAGGGCGCCTGGCATTTCGCATCGCAAAGATGACGCGTTACCCTCCCACCTTTTACCTGTATAGAATGACCTAGGGCCGCCTGCAGAACTTGTAACATGGTGCTGCTAGGCCGTTGGTTTGACTATTGGCGGACTCGGCTAAATAGGCCAGAGTGTAGCGGCGCATCGCACTTGGCCAGGCTCCCAGGTTTGAGGCTCAGCGCGGGACGTGGGCGGACATGGGCTCTCACGGTGATGAATCTCCTTGACGGGTGTCCAGAGGTAAGCATTGAGGCAAAAACATTTTGCTGGATCTTATGTTATGCATGGCTCGAGTGAGTAGTGCCAGCATGTATCATGGAATTGATTGATTCTTTAAGCAGTGTCAAGGCAACTCGAGGCCTGGGCAAGTAGGCATCAAGGCGGTTGTGCACGTTGTTTGACCTGTTTGCGCGCCACTCGAGCCCAGGTCCAGATACCCACAGCTCGACGAGTTGTGTCTAGCAGTTGGGGACTCGGCCGACCGGCTGTGGGTCGCTATCTTCAGCTGTTGCCCCCAACCTTTGTCGCAACAATCCGATGATGGTACCTGTTGTTTGCTTGCTCACATTGCGTTTGCAGCGTAAGTTGAGGCATGTACGTGGCTGGTGATGATGGCGATGCTGATGCGGCTGCTGCTCTGGTGGTGGCGTCGGCGGTGAGGGTCGGCAGTGAGGGTCGGAAGTGGCGTTGATGGTGGCGTTGATGGTGATGGTGATGGTGATGGTGATGGTGATGGTGATGGTGATGGTGATGATGATGATGATGGCGATGGCGATGGCGATGGCGATGGCGATGGCGATGGCGATGGCGATGGTTATGGCGATGGTGATGGTGATGGTGATGGTGATGGTGATGGTGATGGTGATGGTGATGGTGATGATGATGATGATGATGATGATGATGATGATGATGATGATGATGATGATGATGATGATGGCGATGGCGATGGCGATGGCGATGGCGATGGCGATGGTTATGGCGATGGTTATGGTGATGGTGATGGTGGTGATGATGATGATGATGATGATGATGATGAGCAGGAGGATGAGGATGAGGATGATCAGGAGGATCAGGATTCTCAATGCGAATGATGATGATGATGCGGATGGCAGCGACGAGCATGATGGCAGTGATGGCGATGATTCTTGTCGACCATGACTTCTGTGATCGGATAGGCGATGTTTGCCAGCACAATTCTGGTTGAGCTTTGAAACTGCCTTTGCCAGCTGTTTCCCACTCAAAAGCCACGTGCCCGCGTTCCGTTTCCCTCCCATAGCTCGAGATGTCCGACCTGTCCGCCTTCGTGTCGGCCACACCCGCGCTGCGCGTGGCCCCTCGCGCAGTCAGCGCCGCTTCCCAGGGCGCCGCGCCCGCAGCCAACGCCGGCGGCAGCCACGGCTTGTTGGCCGCGTCGGTGGCGTCTGCGGCAGCCCTGGGGTGCCGAGGGGCGAAGCGCGCCTCCAAGCTGCGGCGCCGGGCGGACGACGACGCCTACGGGGCCTCCCACACGTCCTTCTACACCGACGCGGTGGCCAAGGAGGGAGCAGAACTGGCCAGGAAAATGCATGTTTGCTTGGTTTCCTGAAAGGGGATGAAAGGAATCGAAAGTGTTCAACAAGGATTTAAACAGAGTCCCTACCCTGAGGACAAGTACGACACCCTGGAGGAAGTTTTGGCCCAAAAGCTGAAGGATCAGAAGCTGAAGGGCATGGTGAACGAGCTTCTGGACGCCTGTGTGAAGATCACTGAGGCACCAAAATCGGGTGGGGGGGGGGGTGGAAACCCCGGATTGGTATGGAAACCAAACACAACGTGTAGAGATGAATCGCATCTGGGGGTCAGCTGATGTTGAAACACGTTGAAAAACCTTGTCCTGGGTCCAACGTGCCTGGTTCCATGTCTGATGGCTTAGTAAAAAAGAGCAGCTTTTGCGTCAATGACTCGAGGCTCTTCGCGTCAACCTGGTTACCGTGAACGATGCCTCCAATGCTTTTGGAGATCGCCAGCTCACAGTGGACGTGATCGCGGACAACCTGCTGTGGGATTTGGCCAAGTGACGCTGCGAGATTTAGTGAGCCATTCGTACGTCAAAACACCAGGCTTGTTTGGGTTTATAGGGCGTCTCAGCGACTCTCATCTGGCCGTGTTGAGATGTCGCCGGCTTTCAGGTCATCCAAGTATGTCTTCGAGGCATCCTCGGAGGAAGAACCCGAGATTGTGAAGACTAATGCGGACGGGCAGTACGTGCTGTGCTGGGATCCATTGGACGGTAGCTCCATTGTGGACGCTTGGCAGCACTCCTGGAACCACGCCTTTGTGCACCGGCCATCCAAGCCCAAATCGCTTAGCACCAGGCAATCGAGGGGGGCCCTGGGGAGAGCCCAGGACAACAACTGGGCTGTGGGCACCATCGTGGGCGTTTGGGACAAGTCTACTGGTCTGATTGGCGCAACGGGCCGAGACCAGGCCTGGAAAAGACAGGGGCTGGGCGGGCATGGTCCTTGGTTTGAACTTACTGTAGCTCACTGCTTAGCCATACTTCCAGACGTTTGGCATTTTGTCCCCTCGTCTTGCAGACACGAGGCTGAGATGTACCACTTAGGCCAAACATATTGGGAGACACCGGTACTTGGGAGGGCGAGCGGGGGGGCAGGGTGGGGGGGGGTGCAAAGGGCAGCTGCAATGGTTTGGGCAAATTGTAACGAGCCTACCTGGGTAATCAAAACGAGCTCACCCTTGATGAAGGTCCTCTACGAAAGATGTCGTTTGGGAGTTTTACTGGTTGTAGTAACTTGTGTAGAATTGATGACCGTGTGTGTGCCATGGCGCTCGTGCAGGTCATGAGCCTGGTGGCGCTGTATGGTCCGCGCACGACAGCGCCGCGGCTGCTGATGGGCCATGCCATGGGGCGTTGATGTATGTGTTTGTTCGTTTGTTTGTTTGTCTGGCAGTTTGTCTGTTTGTTTGTTTGTCTGTGCGCATGTAGGGGTGCCCACACTTTCCCTTCCCGTGGTTTGTAGTGAGCTCCATTTGGGTGGGGTGATGTTTGTGGGTGTTGGTGAGGGAGTTGTTTGAGGCAGGCTGATCGGCCGTCAGGTCTTCATTACCCTGGATGATGGCGTGTACGAGTTCACCCTGGGTGATGGCAACGAGTGGATTTGCTCCAGGGAACAGATCAGCATCAAGGAGGAGTGCAAGATCTTCGCCCCGGCAAACATGCGGGCCGCGCAGGAGGTGGAGGGTTACAACAACCTCATCCAGCATTACATGACCAACAAGTTCACACTGCGCTACACTGGCGGCTGCTCGTCACTATTATGAGCCTTTTGCCACTAGCAAGAGGCTCACAGATGAATCGCCATCATTCTGATGCAAATGCATGTACGTGATTCATGGAATGCACACCGGGTGATTGAACTTGGCAAGAGAGCATCATGCCAGAGTCAAGAGTATCCAGCAGTTGTTTGAGGCTTGGTGCCGGATGTGTGCCAGCAGTTCACCAAGGGCCAGGGCGTGTTCACCAACCCCACCTCCAAGGCCTTGGGATCCGTTCGACCGGCTCATTCGATGCGCAAGGGGTATCAAAATAGTTCCCTTGATAAAACAAGTACAGAAATTGTGCCAACTACTTTTGCCCAGTTGTAAACCATGCCAGTTTGGAGTTTGGGAGCTGAAGGCAACCAACTTGACCTCGTTTGCAGCGGGAAAAGCTCAACTTTTGTCAGGCATGAACCTCCAGAGCAGCCAAGAGGAAAACGGGAGACAGGCATCACGGGCTTACTGTAGCTGTTCGGTAGGCGTGCCGGTTGAAACTTGGGGAGCAAATATGAGGGTGGGCCATGGGGCTGCCCAAACCATGGTTTGTTTCATTCTTGGTGTCATGTTGCCCCCCCTGCATCAACCGAGATTGCCCTTCATGCGAATTCCGGCAAGCCGCGGCGGCTACAACGGGACTCCCTGAAAGACTCTCAAGGAGGATTCCCAACCAACAGACTGCACTCTTTTATCCCCATGTCCATTTGCCACAAGCCTGAGGCACAAGTCAATCATTTCATGGCTCATAGCTCCTTGTCCCTTTTTGAGGGCTCGAAAAATACTGCCCCATCCCCGTAAAGCAGCAGGGATATCTTTTGGCTTCCCTTTTTGCGTGTGGGAACCCGCCTGGAAACTCGTGCGGCATTCATGGAAACCTTTCAGCAGAACAGGAAACCCATGGGCAACCCCCAAATCAGCCCGTGGTTTCCTTGGCCCATTGCCGTCTCCCCCCAATTCGACCCCATCCGCTAGGTCTCCCCTGCGAAGCTGCGCCTCGCCTTCGAGGCAGCTCCCTTCGGGCGCCTGGTGGAGATGTCAGGCGCGGGCCTGCGGGGTTCGCGTGATGTCTTTGGTGGATTTGGCGATTGCCGTGAAAATGAGGAACCAAAAGGAGCCATGGCAAACAACTTGGGAAAACACACCGACATGCCCGCAGAATGCTGGGGGGAAGGGTTCAGTACTTAAATCTGAAGGGGATTTTTTGGGAGGCAATAATGCGAGCACAGGCAGGGGTATATGTCATGTCTTGTGTCTCCCGCTCTCCCTCCTTCTTTCTCTCTTTGTCTCTCCCCCCGTCTTTCTCTCTGTCCCTCTCGCTCTCACTCTTTTTCTTTCCCTCCGCTTTCTCTTGCTCTCCCTCTCTCTCTCTCTTTTTGTCTCGCGTTCTTTATTGTTTCTTTCTTTATTATTGCTTTCTTTATTTCTTTCTTTCTTTATTTCTTTCTTTATTCTGTCAGTCTTTCTTTCTTTCTTTATTCTGTCAGGCTTTCTTTCTTTCTTTCTTTATTCTGTCAGTCGTTCTTTCTTTCTTTATTCTTTTTTTTTCTTCTCTTTCTTTCTTTCTTTATTTCTTTCTTTCTTTCGTTCTTTCTTTCTTTCTTTCTTTCTTTTCCTCTCTCTCTCTCTCTTCTCTGTCCTCCTCCTGCTCTGTTTCCGTCGCCTTCTCTGTCTTTCTCCCTTTCTCTCTCTCTATCTCTTTCTCCCTCTCTCTGCCTGTCTCTTTTTCTTTCCCGTGTTTATTTTTTCTCTCTTTCCGTCGCATGCTCTCTCTGTCTCTTTGTTTCTCTCCCTCTCCCTCTTTCTTCTCCGCTTTCTCGCTTGCTCTTTTTCTCTGCTTTCTCGGATTTTCTCTCGCCTCTCTCCTCCTCTCTCTCTCTCGCTCTCGCGCCCTTTCTCTGTTTTAGTGGAAATACCCGCGCTCCTGTGCAATGAATGCACACTCAACATCCCTTTTCAGCAATTGACACCACATCAGCATTCAGAGTACTTGAATACGTAGCTCATTCTCTAAACTCTTGCATTGCACCCTGCTAGCTTAGCCAGGCTCTGCTGAGTGCTGAATCCAACGTCTCCTGCAAAATCGGCACCAACGTACACTTCCAACCACACGTTTTCTGGAACATGTGAGACATGCCCGCAAGAGTGAAGTCTACAGAATGCTGCGCATAACAAAAGAGTCGGTGAACCTCCTATCACACGCTTGACACCATGTGCTCACATGTGTCGCTATGTTGTTCTCGGCTTTTGTCCTTTTTTTGCGATGCTTCTCCACGTTTGTAATTTGTGTGTGTGGGCGTGCGGGCGGGCATGTGAGTTTGCGTCTGTGTGTGTGTGTGTGTGTTCGAGTCTGTGTGTGTGGGAGGGGGAGGGGTACGTGGGTGTGTGACGGTGCCCTGTGTGTGCCTAGAGTCACGAAACACCTGAAATTTCGCAAATTGCCAAAAAACTAGGTTTGAGAGATTGCGTTTTTGCATATGGTTGTTTTTCTTGCGGCGTGTGCGCAGTAAAGGTTTGTCCATTACAACAAGCAGTTGTGTTTGTGTTTTGCTCTTTCTTTCTTTTTTTGGGTCTCACGGGGCACACATTGGCAAACCCAGCTCTTCTTGGTGTGCGTGCGCGGGTGCGTGTGTGTGGGTGTGCGTGCAGGCTTGCACGTCCCCTTGTTGTGTCATGCCATGCTTTGTGAATCGTAGGCGGCAAGACGTCGGATGGCGTGAGCGGCAACAGCGTGCTGGACATGCCGCTTGGCAGCCGGCGTGAGCCGCAGCCACAACTCCCAAGCCCTTTTTAGGCCCACGCCCCAAATAAAGGAAGGAGCGCAAAACAACGGACCACCCTCCTTGGCACGACGGCGCAACTTAACCGGCTCAGGAAGATCACGGCGGTGGATCAGCGCACGGCGCTGGCCATTGGCTCTGCTAAGGAGGGGACGCGCGACGCCAAGAAGGAAACCCATAGTTTTGACAAAGACCCTAAAAATGGTTTAGTCAAGGGCCTCACTCATGTCCCATGTGTTCCAAGCTGTTAGCACTCCCACTCGTCCATATTATATGGTAACTTGGTTGTTGCCAGGTGTTTTCTTCATTTTGGCCGAGGCCCAAACATTTTTTTATTCTAACCAACATGGTTTTATGCAGGTGCTTGGCTTAAGCCGGACAGACCAACCACCAACATGATCGTTTGAAGGTGTACTATTTGTGAATAGTTTGTGGGCCACCATTGCAGTTTTGAACCATTACACACACATTGCCATTTGGCTCAAGCAATGCACGTACCTTTTCGCAATTACCATTGTGGATTACTACTGCAAAGAACTAAAAGATCGAGCCTACGCAACGGGTGCTGATTCGAGGATATTCGAAACCTTGCACTCTTTCTGAGGGGCAACACACCCAGTGTTGTCCGGGTACCAAAGAAACCCCTCGGTTTCTCAGGTTATCAGCCGTAGGGCTTGTCCCACGTGTGAGACAAAGATTGATTCGAAGCGAGAGGTCTTGAACCCAGCTTCATATTGAACCAATCGATATATCTTGCCAAGTGGTGCAACACTTACGTGACAATGCCCGAGGGGAGATCTCGATGTACATTCGCGGCCATGGGAGTGGAGAGATTATTGTTGTGAGTGCTGGACCCGCGGCAGGTAGCCAGCAGAGTAATGCCGGCGTTGATCAAATAATGGGAGCAAGGGCTTCCTTCTGCTCCACCCGCAAGGCAATGTAAGCCTGGATGTAAGCCTGGGTAGCATCGGCAACTTGGACCTCTCATCCTTCAAGTCAGCCCAGCGTGACGCTTCAAACGTTGCCGGACTGTTTCCCAACAACACCGCTCGGTACTTGAATTTCCTTCGTGGATCGTCGGCAGGCAGTTGGTCGTTCTTTTCCACCATTACATGAACAACTTCCTGGAGACGACGAGCCTCTGCTCGAACGTCATTGTACTCACGTACATTCTTCATGTCAAAAACGTTTTGTTTGTGCAGACCAGACCATTCTTTTCGAATAGCTTCGACAGCTTTAGGGTTTGAAAGCATTTCCTCCTAGAAACCATCGCGTTGTGAAGTCGCAGAAACTTTTCTTTCAATTTCTCTCGGTGGACATGAGTGCGCGGTACACATGGCATCTTCGGAGTTCCATCCTCCCAACTCTCCGGCTCCAGATCTTCAATCGTATCGACTTCGACCATGCCAACGTAATCTTCCCACACATCGTCGTCATCCTCGTGCCTGGCACAAAGGGCCGCATGAGCGTAGGGATTCTCTCGCCAGTAGAGCCAGATCATCAACCGTTTGTCACCTTCATTTAACGATTCTCTTGCTCTGTTCCAGGTCGTCGAGTACATGTGTATCTGAGCCCATGCAGCGTTCTCATGGTTAGATTCTGTCAAGCGAAGGCTCAGGACCACTTTCGTGTCATGTATCTTGGCCTTCTGAGAAAGTTTTCGCCATGCTTTGGTATCATTGCATTCCCATTTCTCGACGGGTTTGCGTATCCAACCTCCCGTGCCCTTTCTTCACGGATATTTCTATCCTGAGCACTGTCGACCGTTTTGCGCAGCTTCTTGGCGTCTTTGGCGCTCCCTTTCGCTGCCGCAGCATCCTTGCCGTCGTTCGACTTCTTGGCTTTGTCCTTCATCTTGTCGGGCTTCTTTTCGGCCTTCTCGATGCTCTTCTTCCAGTCCCTCTTTGATGTCTTTCTCAACTTCGGCGGCTGCGTACTCCCACATCATTCTGTCCACATGAGACATTTTCTTCCACTCCTCAGAGGACACATCAGATCAGGATGTCTAGAAGTCTCGCAGGCCCTTCGCCCATCTATCCCAACTTCGTAGCGTGTTTTTTGACATCTAGTTTCATCCTTTTCCCCTTATCGTCGACATACATGACCCCATCGCGCAGCTTTTCCTTTGCTGACGTGTTCACATTCGTCTGGAGGCTTGGGAGGGTCCGCATCAGCGAGTCTGTACCAGATATACGCATCGATCGGAACCTCGGCGCCGCCTTTGATCACCGTCCAAAAAAAATCTTCTCCCTTGTTCGGATCAATGCTGATGCAATCAAGCACTTCGGCCGTATCGCTGTTGACAGTCGTACGTGCAACATCTTTCCATTTGGGGCCCCCTTTGGCGTTCATTGTTTGGAACACTATTGCCGTCTCGTCCCTCTGGCTCCACCTGTAAAACCCGGTTCAAGACCAGCGGGCGTTGGGATTTCACCCTTTTCCCCGTTGTGCACCTTTCTTTCACGTTCCGGGGTCTTCTTGTCCGGTTTGGCGGTTGGCTTGGTACTCTTCACATCTCCTTCGACGGAAACATCCCCAACCGTATCATCGATACCAAACCTTACCTTGACTTCTTTCGATCGATCCTTGGCACTCCTTCCTCCACTATGGGGTTCGTCTCCGCCGGGGTCGTCATCATCTCCGTTTCCATTGTCATCGTCGCCCCGCGAGACATCTTGCAACGCCTCTCGAGTCTCCTTTTCCCAGAAAGTCTCGATCAGAGCCTCAAGGTTCCCATTCACCCTTTCGAAGGTGCTCTTTAATGGGAAGGCGAGTGGGTGAACCATCACGACCTTACCCACTATATGAGGCCTACGTAAACTCATTCGTTCGGATTTTGCACCCCACGGTCAATTCGGCGTCGAGGAATTTGTCAAGTTCCCATACCAGCATCTTGCCACTCAATCTCGGGTGCGAACTATCTCTCGTGGGAGAAGGTTTGAAATGGACATAGGCACCTAGAGGTATGCTTTTGCCACCGAAATGATCTCCGTGCATATGTTACCAGGCGCTCTCACCGTCAACGATTTCAACGTTCAGCAGGTGACATGTCGAAGTCAGAGCAAAAGACCAGTAACACAGAGGTGACGCAGCAGCCAGCAGACAAGCGCTGACCTGATCGATTACATGGAGATTGTCTCTTTAGCCAAGGAATTATTCATGGGTCTGCCGGGCAGCGAATGATCGAACGTGATCCCCAATTGAGGTGCACCATCTCCGGAAGCAACCCGAATCTTTCGTCTCCCCATCAACTCCTTCAGACATCTGACAACCTCATCCGCAGAACCATCCGAAGTAGGATACGCCATCCTCACCCCAGAGTAGTCTCGTACCACGAAAGCATTGGCGCCCGTCTCAATTCCCAACTGTCCTACTCTGTCTGGTGTTAGGAAAACAAGGTCTCCCCATTTCTTGAGTTGTTACCCTTCTTGGTCTTGAAACGCCGCATCTTCGCTCTGACGCACGCATCACAATAAGGGTTGGCGAACCTATGGGTAACCATGTGTTCCAACGTATCCGCTTCATGTTTGAGAGCCCTTTCTCTTCACACCCCTTCCAGCTTCGACATCAACTTCAACCTCATCTTCGTCACTACCTCCGCCCTCGTCCCTTTCATCGGCATCACCTTCCTCTTCCTCACCGGGTTCCTCCGCTGGCGCCGCAATTGGTGTCTTGTCTGGCGATGAAAACAATCCTCCAGACAGATCCTCCGCATGACTCTCGGGGTAATCCAAGATTCCGAGAGCAGATTCCGTGAGTTTCCCCACGGTCCGTCCTTTCTTGGGGAAGTACAGCTTGGCTTTCGGGGTTGCGGGTCCGCACTCGGTCTCAGCATCGCTATCCACAATATCCTCTTCACTACAGGTCGGCTCTGCTTCACTCTCGGAGTCCTCCCACAATGATATCACCGGCGCTGCCTTCGCTTTCTTCTTCTTTTTCTTCTTCTCGGATCCCGCTTCGCTTTCAGTGTCGGAACCCTTTTCCGCCGGCGCTGAGTTCTTCGGATGCTTGAATTTGCAGTCTTTTCCCTTCTTACAGGTTGCCTTCTTCCAGAACGAGCAAATACCATCGTTCTTGGGGTTCCCCTGCCGGGGAGTTGCTGCGCTTGGGGCCTTCTTCAAGCTTCTTCTTCCATTCAGGTGTGTAAGTGCTCTTCTGATGGCTGCATGTGCAATCGGAGCCCTTCGTGCACTTCCCACGAAAAGAATGAAACTGACATAGAATGTTCTTTGGTGACCTCCCCTGCGGCTTAGCCTTCTCCTTTAGTTTTGGGAAGAGGCCGGTGCCGAATCCTGGGTTCCGACTTTGCCTTCGGTTTAGGTTTCGCTTTTTCCCAGCGCGTTGCCCAATCTGTGATCCTTGAGCGACTTCTCCTTATTTTCCCAGTTCTTCTCCTCCTTGGTGGCCTTAACCCGCCGATCAATCATGTTGAGCAAATACTTATGCGTCTTCGCGGGGTCACTTCGTTCCATGTGCTCATACAATTTCAACTCCAACTCTTCCTTCGAGTTCCCTTTCAAGTGTCTCTCAACTCATCCTCTTGCGGAACAGACTCCGGTTTGATCCCAGCAATGATTTCGAGCCATCGTTGCTTGAAATCTCCCAACTCCCATCTTCTTGCCATCCGGGCATGTTAACTTGTACAAGTGCTATCTCCCTTTGATGCCCTTTCCGATGATGAGCTGCTGGACCCCAAGCGCAACTTCACTTGCCTGCGGATTTGATCATTGTATCCATGCTTATCACCAATTTGCTGTCAACACCAGCGAATCTCGCGCCGCCGCTATTGGACAGACCCTCGGTACTGGCCTTAGGACTGAAGGCCTCTGCAAGCCATGCTGACCAAACTTCACTATCGGGATCACCGCATCCTGCCAGAACGTTCGACAGTAGCTTTCCATTCCACATGTCCAGTTGGTCGATCTTCAGCCACGCAGGGACGCTGACCAAAATCTTAGTCTCAGTAGCCGCGTCCTTGGTACAATTCCTGTAGATGGCGTGGTCACATCCCCAAACTTGGGCGGTGCAACGGATTGGTCTTTGACTAGCTCATCGTACCGCTCGGTCACTTACCTCGTTCCTGTGGTTTCTGAGCCTGTCACACGTGCTACGCAGTTGTTCCGATTCTTCATCCCGAGTCTGAGCT